TCTCTCTCTCTCTCTCTCTCTCTCTCTCTCTCTCTCTCTCTCTCGAGTTAGGAAATCTCAAACGAAACAGATACCAGAGAGCAAACGAGATCTGACAAGCCTAGACTAGGCTGCTAGTATACACAACAAATGTGAACGTGCAAAAGGTAGTTGATGCTAAATGACAATGACGATTCAATTCATTTCAGATTGAATAAAGAGAGAGATATACGTAACCAGAGAGTTACACTTGTTGATAATACGGCTCTGATTCTGTAAAATGTTGTACGGACCGATGGAACATCGCTTTTGAAGGTACACTTAAGAAAAATTCGTTTAAGACATGATACATTTGTGGTTTGTCTGTGACATTTTGCAATAAATGATATATAGTTTTCCTTTGAGGATTTACACTCAATAAAATATTATACGTTGCAGGTATTTATTTTTTTTCTTTACGGTTAAATTCATCAAAGATATGTAGTTGCGTAGTAAAAGAGTTTATGTGGTTTCATCTCATTGTGATAAGAACACATATACACAGACAGTCCTTTATCCATTTTATTCATTGGGTCTTTAACATGAAATATAAGAGATTTCCTTTTTTGCATCAATTTGCTGCGTGGTCGGTAAGTGTATATGTGATATTTGTGTGTATATATATAAAATATTAATAGCCGACGATAACAAAAGCGCAAAAAACTACTTTAATTCTATTTTCAGTATGTTTGGGTTGTTTCTACATTTATGAGAACACATTTATAAAAATGTTTTTGAGTAAACTCTATTTGACATCAACAGTTAGCAGGTGCGTGGATTTAGTTTAGTGATACATTTTTTTTGTGATGTTTCATTCTATTCTCTCCATTTCTCATACACCCATGTGTATATCGCTCTTTGACAAAAAAGTCATTTTTTTATTCGAAAACTCTGCGCCGCTCCAACTCAAATGGAACGCTTCGTGAAATCGTTGTTCGGACTTTATAAATCCGGATAAAACTGTTTGCCTCGTACAAACACCGAACACCGACATTTGAATAAAATATAAAGGGCTCGTTCGCTTATTAAGTTTTCAACCATACATTCTATGCCGGTCTCGTACTGTAGCGCGGTTAATACAAAACACAGAAACAAAAAGCTCTCCATTACTCTTTCTCTCTCCGCCTCTCCCTCTCTCTGTTCCACTTGTTATTATTCAAACTATAATATTCCATTTTCTCTCTCGATCTGCTCTATGCGGCTAGATGGATTACGTGCTGCCTCGGATGTTTTTGAGCAACAAAGAGGAAACAAGAGTGAGTGAAATCAACTGCACTCGTTTTCTAGTATATGTCCGACAATTGCTGTGAAGTCTGAACTTTTGTGATAAAGAAATTACTTCATTTTATTCCGGCTGCTGTTTCTATGTGCTTCTTCTATTTTCATTTTTCCTCTTTTACATAGAGAGTATATGTTTTTTTTGTGTGTGCATTTGATCCAGTGCGTTGTTGTTTTTTTCTTCTTATTTTTGGTTGGTCGAAGCGTGTGTGTATGTGTGCTTCTTCGGTTCAATTTGTGAACATAGTGTAATTTCTTTTGAGGGGTGCAAAGAAAGAGCTTTATGGTAACGGGAATGTATTTTGTATGGTATTAATGCGGCGTTGTTGCCTCGCACCATCATCAATGCGTTTATCGGTAAGTGCGACAAATGGAAGCTTTTGTTTAATTAAACCGCCGGCAATAGCAGCCGTTCCAACTAATCTCGGTGTTGCCACGCGATGAAATAGAAATGAATCGGCTCTCGGCGATATAGTTTCCTTCTGCTTAATTTGCCCAATTTGTGATTGTTGAACGGCAGCATTTGGCTGCTGACAATCCACACCGCTACCATCAATATCACAATCTTCATAGTCTTCGGACGATAGTGATAAATGTTCGCCGGGCAATCCGTTTGGTTCACTTTGAACATTTTTCTCTGTCAAATATCGTTGTTTCGAATTCAAAATGATTGGAATGATATGTTTGCCATCGACTGTGTACGGTGGTACAATCGGTTTTTGTGGTGGTTGATGTGGTTTTTGTTGTTGTACACTTTTATTTTTCTTTTCATCCATTTGCTCTTCGAATAAATTCTTTTCGATCCATTTATTGGTTTGCTTTTGACGACGTCGTGAATGTGACGATTGTTTTGCCTTTAAATTAGCATTTGCAACATTTGGCATACCTTCACCTTCGAGCAATCCAATCAATTGTTTGTTGCGTCGGCTGTATTTTTTGATGTACGGTGGTAGTGTGTCACTTATCAAGTCTTGATGCAATTGACTTTGGAGTCGTTTTAAGTGTGGCCATTTCTCGTCGGCGCGATGATTTGTTTCGGTGAAACGATTCGAACTCAATGTATCATCGTAGCTTGAATCGTAGAAACTTACATGTGCCTGAACATACGGATACGAATTGGGATCACGAATGCTCGATTTTATGCCGGAATTAATTTGTTGTGGCTTCAAACCACTTCGAGATGATGCACTGCTATATCGATTGCGATGTGATTTCACCTTGTGCTGTTTCAACCACTTTTGATGACGTCGATGCCATTTTCCGTTGTGATTTTGTCGACGGTTGTGATGACGATGGGGTTTTGAGCGTGCTGTTGACGTATTATCTACATTGAATCAAAAGCAAACGAGAAAATAGTGTAGGGGGGAGAGAGAGAAAAAAACAATAGCAAAATATTATTATTGTGGTAAAAATGGTTTCATAAAAAATCATACGCATACAAATTACATTGGAGAAGTCGTGTTATAAAGACAATAAACCACTTTATAATAATTTATGATTTTCATAAATATACACCCTCACCAATGGGAACCACAGAAAAATTAAAACCAAAAAAATTATTGTCATAAGAAACAGCAAGAGAACAACAACAAAATTGTACAACCATAATTCGGTCACGCGAACATAAAATACTTAAGGTCACTCCATACCGAAGTGCGTTTCCAAAAATGTGAAATGCCATTGATCTAGTTTCGATGGTGGTCTGTTTGCATTTGAAATGTCAGGCTCTTTTTTATTGGGTTCCAACCAAACGCCATACAGTAATAGCCAAATTCAATGACTTTTACTAAAGAGGTTGACGAACACTTTTCCAACTTGTATTTACATTTCATCAGCACAAAGGACATTCAAATGCATTCACATTCGATTTTTTGAACAACCTTACGAACGAAGGAACGACGATTTATATTGTTTTTTTGTCTTTTCGAAAATCAATAGCAAGCAGCAAGCAGAATTGATTACATTTTGGCACGCGTTAATAGGCAAGAAAATTGCCTATTTTGTCGTCCATACCATACGTACCGTTAAACAAACGTTGTGTTTGGTTTTCAATATTTTCCTCCCACACTAAAGATAAATCGCTAAAATAACGACCACGAATTATAACGATGTGAATCGTACATAATTAAAGTCGTCTCTCCCCCACACTTGAAAAGTTACAATTTCGTTTGGCTTTGATCGGCTTTGGTCAGATTAAATTTATGTTCGTTCTCTACGATAAGTTACCAGTTGACCACTTATTTCGAATTATTAATCGAAAAGTTTATCACAAAAATTCGGCCACCCACTCAAGTTCAAGTGTAGAATAAATTATAGGCTTTTGGCTAGTTCAGGTCAAAAATGACGTTAGAGCGTGATTGTATGCACGTGCCGAAACACTTCAACAATTGAATATATTACAAAAGATGATAATGAATGTGACGATAATACCGACAAGCAGAAGTTTGGATTTGATAGACAATGTTAATATTTGAACATTTTATAATCTATCGAGAAGAGATTTGAATGTCAACAAAACGTATCGTATAACTAAAGATCGGTATTATAATTGTTCTGAGCTTGTCAACGTACAAACAATTTCCTGACGCACAACATCAATATCAACGGCAACAATGAGTCAGAAAATGCTGTTTGCATGTTGAACGGTATTTAATGTATATCATTTAGTAAGCCTAAGAAAGTAAGCCTAAGATTTTATAGATATACGCACGCCATTCACCAAAATAATAATTCGTATAACATGAAAACAGCTTCAAACTGCCAACTTTATTGTTGTGAGCACTATGATTATTGTATTTTATTCATATCCGGTATTTCTCTCATCAATTTATGCTGCATTTGATTTCAAAATTAAATTCATCTCCATACATTACAACATTGTACATGTACATGCATGTGCACATAATTTTTATCCTTTTTGCATTTACACTCGTGCATTTGAAGTGATTGGTCATTAAAATTCAAAAGCCGATCAGCTGGAGTCGTTATTAGCACAGCGGGAATAATTAAATTTAATTGCGGTCTATACAAAATAAATATGAATAGAGGTGAGAAGGAGAAGAGAGTCACTAGGCTCTCAATTACAATATTCCTGTTATAAAATATACGATACGACTTTTAATAGAGCTTATTGGATTTGGCTGGTTCCATTGGTTGTTTATTCAAAACAAGAGCACTTGAAAGCACCAAAAAAACATGCATTTAATCGATTGTTGCACCATGGATCTTTCACACATACCAGACGCAGCCAGCAAAAGTTCAATTATTATTCATAGTGAGTGCTTGCAAACCGTTTTTTTTATCGTTCTCTCTGTTTTCGGCATATAGTTTTTTGTTGATGTTAGTGTTGTGTGTGTATGTGTCTCTGTGTGATAATATGGTATTTTAATTGTATGTATTTACACTTACTATAGGTCATTTGCCTGTTCGAATGGGCTGCGATAATGTTATTTGCTGTTTGCTGATGGCCTTGCTGTGTATCCCGTTCAATATTTGCATCGATCGGTAGCGGGTGTTGTTGTTGTATTCGTTGATGTTGGTGTTGATGCTTTTGTTGCAATTGGATTTGCGATGGTTTATCGCCGATTTTATTATTGTTCTCGGCTTTCGGTTTTTGAATTAATTTTTCATCATTAAATGCAAAATTAGCAAATTTTGAATGTGCCGTTGCCTGTTTATCGACCACACCATCAATGTCAATCACATCATCATCATCTTCATCACTGCCATTCTCGACAATTGCATCGTTCCCATCTCCAATGGTAAATAAATTGTGATTTATAAATGATTTGTCATTTGGATTGCCATGCGTAACAACGTCTTGCAGCTGAAATGTTTTCGTTTTATCATTCGCAAATGGATCAACCTCAACACTCTCCTCGTCAATTGCATACACAATCGTTCCGATCGGAGTTTCAGTTAATGTATCATAATAGATTTGTCCATTCTGTCGCGCGTATTAAATTGCATTTATATCGTTTAATATGATTGAAAATACATGTAAAAAATAGATGGAGAGAGAGAGAGAGAAACAATGATATCAGTGGCATTAATAGACTCAAAATGAATTAAAAATCGATAAGCTGATTAGTAACACGATTATTTCATTCAAAATTGTTAGCAAAAAGGTCTCAATCGAATCATATTTAAGCGGGCTAAATTAATGCACCAGGGAAAATTAACTCAATCGTCATGCATCATTGATTATAATGAACGCTATTGAGCATATGCATACGTGTTGCTGCAATAACAGCATTTGGCCACAACAAATAATAAAAAAAAAATGCAAACCGTGTGGTTTGATGACTTTGACGCATCAAATATGCTATTTCGAAATATCATCAAAAATGTTTAATTAACTATAATATATAAATCCATTCAAATATTCACTGATGAATGAGAACATATATCATCTCTACGGACTATCTGATGTGATGTCAACACTTCGAAAAATTCTATTTGAATGACGCATTCTGTTTATTTTAAATCCTATCATAAATCGCAATTTGAATGATTTAAAATTATTCGAATACTCACATAAAATGGGTCACTCAAATCGATTTTCGGGCGAGCTGCAAGCAAATAAAAAAGAGATAATACTTTTTTAAACATTTCAAATTTATTTAATATAAATGATGACGGATGAAAACTTTACGAAATCATTCAATCCAATGACTTAAATACAACGGATAATATATGCGGCAGTATTTTTGTTCCATTGAAAATTTAAAAAAACACAGAGAGAGAGAGAGAGAGACAATTTTCCATAATAATCTGAAAAAATAATTTGATATTTTTTTCCGTCAACAGAAGGTATTAATTTCATAAAATTTCATAAAATAAAATGTTGTTGTTGTTTTTTTAACAAATAATTTATATCGAATAAAAATTGTTGGATTTTGTAATTCTTGTGAATAATTTATCAAGGAGTATCGAGTTCGGTGCACAGCAAACAAATTAACAAGTAGGCGAGATAGATCAGATTTGGTCGGCTCTTGTTCTGTTCATTGAACGTAAAAAAAGGAACAGCGTCAACAAACAACGCCGTATTTGCGTCTGCACGCCAATCTGTTTCAATGTTTTTCATATTCGGTTATAAAATTTAAATTTGACATTTTCAATACATGTACATTTTGTGCACGCGCGTCCGTTTCACGTGCCTCTTTCCGCTCAATTTTCATTCGACATAATAAAGTATTGAAGTAAGGCGATTTGTTAAGCCATTCATGCGAAATACATATCCGCAGTATTTGGTAAAGATCCGTTACGTTCAATATGATTTGTGTTTATACCTCTCTCTCTCTCTCTCTCTCTCTCTCTCTCTCTCTCTCTCTCTCTCTAAAAATTGCTATGCTATTGAATATCCCGTGTATGTGTGATGGGTGTTGAAGTACATTGCACCGGATGTTTATTCGTACCTTTATGCGAAACGCTGGTAGCGTTCACAATTAATCCATTTTGTTGTTGTACTGAATGAACAGCCAATATAATCGAAACCAATCGCAAAACGTAATTTCGTCTCATTTTATCGAAAAATATTGTCTATACCATTCACAAAAATAGAAATTCAATGTAAATGTCTCTTATTATTGTCACATATATAAATGTAAATGTACACGAACAGGAGAAAATTTGTTGTATATATTCGATTGACAAATTACAATGAACACAATTTGTTTGCGTATTTGCGTTCTGATGATCTCAATTTTGCGTATTTATCTTCGTCGATTAAGCTCGGTGTGCTTCTGATATTGATACATATCGTTTTATTTTCAATTTATTTTTGCTTATGCTTCGTTTTAATCCGCCTACATGCGATCGAAAATCCAATAAAAAAACAAAATTCTTATTTGGTCTTTTATCAAGTGTTTGTTGCCACTGGGCTTGTTCTTGTTAACGAATTTTTCTATTATTCTATTCTTTTTCTTTTCTTTTAGCACTGTTCTCTTTAGTTCACTTCAGTTCAAATGCATTCCATGACTTGACATGGAAAATGCACTAAAAAAAGCTCATGCCACTACTTCAAACGAATATATTGATTTTGGTGTATACTGTATATGTTGGCTCCCACGAGTAACTGAAAGGAATGGACTGCGGAGGGAAAAATCGTTGCAAATTAGATTGCTGTTGTTTGCACCGTTATGCTTTGCCGCACATAATCATCGATATGGAAGAAATTTGGGAATTGCTTCTATCGATTTTCATCAATTTTCCACTTTTTTTTTCGTGTGTATTCTTTTTCCCTTTCGCGTTCGAAATCCCTTTTTTTCCTAATTAAATAATGTTACCGTTTCCCGATGGTTTTTAGTTCAAGGTTCCTCGTTAAGCATTGCTGTCAAACTCACACTCGCTTCTCTTTCTCTCGCTTCTTGTTGTTGTTGCTCTTTAATTAAAAACTAATTTTACGTTTTGTCTACATCAATCCGTTGCAATTGGTTTTCTAATAATTTGCTTTCACTCACAAATTCAAAGCACATAAAATGTTTCTTTCTTTTTTCCTGTGTTTTCGTTGAATGACAATGCTGCTTTTATACAAACTGTAGAGTGTACGATTGACTTCAGCAGCACCAAATGCCCATAATAATATCAATAATCATCAACGGTCACGTCGCACGTTATATATTCTTTCGACGGCTTTTTCGATCGTTGTTTCGTAGTCGTGGCCGACGTCTTCGTCGTTGTTGTTGTTATTCTTTTTTTGCTTGGTTCCGTGCTCATCTATGGAAAATATGAGTAGAAAATGAAATTTTATGATTTTTCTTCGGCGCAATTTTCTTGCACTCGCTCGATTTGGACGTCTGTTTTTCTATTTTGTCTTTGTATTTTTGCAATCGCTTTCATACAAACATTTATGTGAACTGAATAATCGTTGAACTACAACGTCACCTTGCTGCACGTTTGTGTTCTTGTTATTATCGTTATTAATTTTTTTTTTGTAGTATTTTTCTGTCGGCCGTTGTATAAGTAGTTGTAGTTGTTTTTCCTTGTTATTTCCGTTCTTTTTTTTAATCTTCTATTTTCATGCCATTCTTTATTTCTTCTTCTTCATCTTTTTCCTTCACAATTCAGACATGTAGACTTGTCTAACCGTGCGCTTGATTGATTTATGTTAGAAAATCAGATTTCATTCTTCGATTTAACCAATGAAATTTCCTTGTAGTCTTTTTTTATCGTCTCGCTTTTATGGTAGAACCGAAATTTAAATGTATTTCTTTATAGTATTTCCCACGAATACATTAACACGCAGCGACTGACAAAACACAAAAATAAAACCCAACTCAACGATGATGTCAAGTGAAAATTACACCACACAACCGTTGATGAGGTTTATTTCGTCAAAATGAAGCAAGAAAAAAAGAATAAAAATAAAAACAAAAACAAAACTCTGCAAATATCGAGTTCACACGGAATAAATGACGTTTTAGCTTTTAGCTGACGGTATTGAGTTTCGTTCGATATTTTCCGCTTTTGCTTTAGATAATAATTCTCTTCTATTCATTTATTTTTTGCTTTCTTTTCAGCTTTTGTTCGTTTTCGCTTGTTCGCGGCTTCAGTATCAATTTGTCGTTATATTATTTTCAAATATTCAAAACGGAGGATAATTTTATCCATGAACCGTCGTAACACTTGTTCGATGTATTTTGAATCGAGTCGACTGAACGAACATAAAATAGTTCGATGAGGAGCGAGAAAATACGTTATCCTTGTTCAAACTCTGAACACGTACTGCTTGTGCAGTGCGATGTGTTTTGGTGGCTAGCATTCAGCCAGTTGGTCTAGTTGGATGGTTGGTTTATTCGTTTCGGCTTGGCGCTTGGATAATAATGTATGTTTGTACATGCGAATCAACTTTGTTTTTCGAAATAGACTTCTTCATCGTCGTCGCTGTCGTCGTAGTCGTCGTCGGCGGCTGGCAAGTGTATTTGTGCTATCAAATACGAGAAATGTTTACCGGAGTATCAATGCATGCCTGCTGCCTCTATCACATATATGTATAAAAGCATTCTAGTACAAGCAAAGCTACAGATGCAATATGACACAAACGATATAAAAGTTTCTTGAATCGACACACAACGATGAGAGCCGACATCGTGTATACATTCTGTATGCTTGATGCGTTACACTTATGTGTATTGTGTATTATGCTCCTTTCTTCGAAACTTTTCTTTCGCTCGTTTGTTCGTCGTATCGTTCAGGCTCATTTTTTCTCTATCTATCTCCCCATTCTAGTGACTTTGGTGTGGAATTTGTGTTTTGTTCTTTTTGGATAATACCATCCTCTCATATCAATTGTTCACATGAGTGGCATCTTCATACTACTTTTTTTTGAGTGGGTGGATTTCAGAACGAGAATCGATGTACTGAAACGTGTTTCGACAAATCGTTCCAGCTAAAGGGATAACGAGTCCACATAGTCGCACAGTCAACTGGAGAGAAAATATGTGTGTAAATGTGTGTGTATATTCACATCACTTTGGCTCTATCCGAAACCAAATCGAATCAAATCCATTTGCATTATTCTTGAGCTGCGATCTTCTCTATTCTCTATTCAATAGGGAATAAGTGGTCAAAAAATCTTTCAGTAAAAGTATGCATTTGTACAGTCGTTTTCATTTTATCGTCTAGCTTTTCTGTCGTTCCGTCTTGTTCTCTCTTCTTTATTCAAATCGCCATCAATGCGTGCATTTGCTCGACTCAAATCTACTTGAATATTGAATAGAGTGAATATTTCTTTAAATGTACCCGAGAAACATGCATTACATGTTCACATTTGTTATTCGACATAAATTGGGTAATTGTGCAATTGATTGATTTCCTCTGATGTTGTGAATCGCATCGAGCTGCTGCTACCGCTACATGTTTGTTTTGCGAAGAAAAACTGCAGTGCAGTCACTTGCATAGCTTTTCTCTTCTTCTTCCTCTTGTTGACGGTATGTTGTATGTTGCTCCATTTTTCGTCGCCACGAATTTATGTATTTATTTGAGAATTGCAATCCGTTGACAAAAGACATATACACTTTTTCTCTATTATCGTTCATTCGATTTTAGCTCATTGTCACTCTTATTTACGAAAAAAAATCGCACATTTGTGAATGAGACTCATGCATCTGTTCGTTTGCCTGATACGATTCATTCCCATTGTTAAGAGTAAAGGATCAGATTTATAGAATTTAAGTCATACTTATACTATTAAATTCCGTTAATTCAAAGTTGTATAAACGATCATCTTATTTTTTGTTACATTCTCTCTCTCTCCTCCCTCTCATTCGTTTGCCAAATTGCATTGAATAATTGAATTGAAAGCGGGAGCAAAAGTTCAACTGGCACATTAAAAACTTTGTAGAACTAACAAGAAAAGAGAGATGTCATCATTAAGACACAGTATATTCAGTGAAATGATATTTTTATGAGTTCAAGCGTACAATAGAGGAAAACAAGCCTGGAACCACTACTACCAACTCACTCTCACGACTTTGAGTTTATCTCAAGAAATGAATTAATTCACAGAATTCCCCAAATAATTATTACAGTGCCGGAATTTATAAAACTTTCAAGGTGTTTGGGAATTGTAAGACAATGCGATGGGCCGCCAAAGGAAATGCCTTTTTGAAATATTAAATTTTCCACGAATGTTCCAATTGGGTTAACCGAAAATGTCTTCTGCATTTTGCGAAGATTTGTGTGTGTGCGTTTGTGTTTTTCTGCACGTCGCACTCTCAAGCAAAAGGAAACGCAAAAATATGTTTGTACAAAGATTGAATGTGAATGAAATGTAAACATAAAAGTAGTCGCGCACTCACGTCGCGGTTGTTGGGATTACTTTAGCAATCAAGATAATAGACTTGGACTGGTTCACTTTGTACAAAGCCTTTTTCATTCCTTCTTTTAGCTCTTGTCGTTTTTTATCTTCTCATTTTAGCCTGTTTCCGTGTTCCATATGTCTATTTGAATACTTTTAATTTGGATTGTAGTTTTTGCTGCGTGACGACTTCTTCACGAGAAAGAGCACGAGCCGACGGGCAATGTAAAGCAAAACTCCGAGACGAATCCAAATCATTTGTAGACCGCCCCGTTTTCTGGATTATGTAACCAATTTTCGCCGCAACATCAAGCACAAAAAAAAATATTGTTGAAAACTCACCGCGCACTCTTTTGAACTATTTAAACATTATGAAAATGAATGAGAAGATTGTGCAAATGAGAAAAAGGCTTAAAGGAAATTGCCGAGAAAGCAAATGAAAAGGAGCAAAAGAAGCAGAAGAAGAAGAAAAAAATAATGCGCGATATGATATTCATTGAATATCAGCCGCTGGCGGCATGTTTCTGTGCTTTACAGACACACAAACTCTCTCGCATACAATCACATGCTCACTGTGCAAGTGAGTAGAGTAGTTTTGTGTTCGGATTTTTCATTGCAATCTAAATCAGTCTAAATTTAAAAGCCCATTTCTATATATGTCTACATACGTGCCTGAGCCTGTGCATATGTATGACTACATTGTATATAACAAAAACCAACTGAAGCGTTATGCATGCATAGCTTTATGGATTTCGTGCCATTCATTTAGAAATCGTGTAGTTTTTTTTTTCAAATTTTCCATCGCTTGCATTCAGCTTCATTCACTTTCCCTCCGTTCTCATTCGTCCATTGCTCATCGATTGAATTGCACTTACTCTCTTCTACACCACATTCAAACCACATCAGCCTATTTATTTGTATTCAGTTTGTTCGTCGTGTTTTTGTTGTCGTCGACGTCGTCGTCGTCGCAATGCCGCCGTAGTCAAAACAAGTCAGGAGTTTGAATTAATTAGAACAAAACGATGAAGAGAAAAAAATCAAGTACGCTTGTGAACTTGATATCGACAGACGGTTGCATGTTGTATATTGCATCGTGTTATGGCAATTGCCATTTTATAATATGCACGTTATTAGATTTTTTTACAACTTCGACAAACGATATGAAAAATAAAATGAATTGCTTCGCATAAAAAAGCCACAGCAAATAAATCAATATTTTTGTGATTTTGTGTGTCGGTTTCTCTTGCTTGTTGTTATATTTGCGTGTTATTTTTCACCAAACAATTTCGGATATAAGCGATTCATTCTATAGATTGTATAAATTTCATTGGTATTGTAACTGGTATACAGAATGGCATTTAGTTGGTAATATTGTTTGAGAATATTTCGATTTACATTTTTGATTATAGCTCTAATGCATATGCACCGCAAAAGTGGAAAGCCTTTGATGTGGCCCAATTGAAAACTGGCACAACAACACGAATGCCGAAGAGATAATGTGTGTGTGTGTTTTCGGCTTTTATTTCACCTCAATTTCATCAAAACCATCGAGTTTTTGCATTTTTAATTCATGATTATTCAACATTGCACACAAAATCCACTTCGTTAAATATCAACGAAAGCTCAACATTCAAAATCCGGTAAAATTGTCTAATACAATTTTTGGATGAATATGTGTTTGAAACGATAACGCTCATCATTCCTTTTATTCCATCCATTTAACAACTACGACAACAACAGCAACAAAAAATCCAATGTAAATTTAATTCAATTTGCTGGCACACAAACACGGAACGTGCTTTTGTAAAATAATGCCAAAACCTCGTATAATCTACTTGATGAGATTAAATAAATGATTTGGAGAAGTAAATTACGTTCAATTTATGTTCCTGTTTAAAGTTTTGTTACATCGACAAAACAGGATGCTGAATAAAAACAAGTTTGGTGAAAAGCCATACCGGATTGTATAAAAGTGATGTTCAGTTGAGGAGATTATAACATCACATCTTCTCTTTTTAATTACGTCATACATAACTTCTTAAAGTCAGAAAATCTCGGGTCGACCCCATTAGACTCATTAGAGAAAAAAAAAACAGATTGAAAATTCATTAGAATATTTCTTGCTCATTGAAAACTTACGCCAATTTAAACTCTTAAGTTAAATTATAGTTCAGAGCCGAAATTGAATATCAACCGCAATAAAAAAACACGATCTTGGTTACTTCAATCAAAATGTGAGCATGCTATATCATAAAATCTAAAATTATATTTGGTTGAGTGTACACCAGTGTGTGTGTGTGCTGTTGTTGTATTTCATATCGATATCTAAAAGCAAATTCACTTCACAACAATATAAACATTATCATCGTCAAATGGAGAAATGTGTGCTGTATTGTTACGATAATTAAATTTTATTCATATACGGTGCACATAAAGACCGAATTAATTGCCGATAAAAAAACTCTTTTATCACTGATTCCGCACATAGATATATGGCTCTTCCAATCACGGATATATTGTATGCCACACGCTCTACTTCGTATTCAATGAATGTATACGACAAACGGCAAAGTGTCTGTCATATCGTTGGTGTGTATGTGTGAATTCTGGTTGACATAAAAAATTACGTGTTTCTTCTTGTATGCAATACTAGAAGACTGGTGTATATGATAATTGCTAAAACAATTAAAGCACTGAGTAATGTGTAAATTTACTTTTCCCAAGGCACTTTTGAATACGATAGCAGTGAACATCTTTCAGTGATAAGATACAGTGTATTTTTTTCATAATTCCGTAACATCCATTTCTGTGGCCCGATTTTGTTGATTGACGACGACGGCAGAGACGACGACCAAGGAGAGAGAATATTTTCGTTGAGCTTAATTGAAGGTGCTCAAATTGGTATTCGAATGGAACACGTGTCGTCAAACTTTATTAAAAGTAAACATTTTCATTTTTTTTTTCATTCTCGCTTTTTTCATAATCCAGTTTGATCGTACGCCTCCCGGAGGACGTGCAACACCGTCAATGTGTATGTATGCTAAAGCAATCAATGCGCAAACTGCTGTAAAACAATATATTTTGTGGGATTTTTTTTTGTAAAGTGTTGTGAACTCAAACGTTAAAGTGACCAAAACATTTCCATTTTCAATTTTGAATGTGATTTTGATAACAACAAAGAAAGAAAAAAAAACGAAAAACTTCTAACAAGATTCAACAAACTTTGCGTCTGGTGATATGATTGAGAGAATTTATAACGATTTTTTCGTTGCGACGGAAGCATCAATCCAAGTTCACAACTACTGCACCGCTCAATATCGATAAATTGAAACGTACATGACACGTAGCATCAGCAGCTGCAGCAACACTCACAACGCCAACAAAAATAACAATAAAAACAACAGCAACGGCAGCAACAGCAAAGACAACAACACCATCACATTTTAACAACGACGTAATTCGAGAGCAGTGCCCGAAGTCATTTTCCATTTATATTTATCTCGATCTTCCGCAATCAAAAAGTCATATATGTGAATGGGAAATATTTTTGAATGACTTCCATCCCGTCGACCTGATTTAAATCGCATGCAAACGAAATTCAATCACTTCAAACGGCATCCAAAGAAAATTACGCGCAACAAAAAAAACACACACAAAAAAGAAAATCAGAAAAAGAAGAAGAACCAGAAAACGAAGGTAAACGAAAACAACCCAAATGGGATAAAAAAGGAAAAAGCTACTTGAAATCTGGCCACAAGCTGTTTTGGGAACGCAATTTTAAAGCATAAACACGCAGCACTTCACCATTTATGACTGCATACACAAGGGCTGTTATAAAACCAAATCACAAGGAGAAAAGACGAGAATACATCAACGACAACAACCGAAAATAAAGAATGAAATAGGAAAGTATTAACGGATCACGAGGCATACATATAAGGTAACTTACACTCTGTGTATAAAATCGGGTAACAGTGCATGTATTCGTCATACATTTTTACGATACAACCTTTCTACATTGGTCTGTTATTTATGTTAAATGCGAAATAATTTTCCATTATGTGCATTCGCGTTTGCAAAAAAACACACATACACATACGTTCCCACAATATTACCCACCACACATTCACATATATAGACACATTTTGTAACATAAATACAGGGTAAGTAGAGCTTAGTTTTTCGTCTAAACGATAATTTACACTTCACAATTGATTCCTGTTCTCTTTTTTCTCCGTCTGTTTGTGTATGTGTATATTTTCTTTTTGTTTCTTTTTTTCTTCTCTGGTGAACAGTAGTTCCAGTTCAAACGCCGGATAAAAGTAATTTCAAGCTGAACAAAAGGAACGGAAAAGAACCTGACCCAAATAAAGAGCAACTAAAAGGAAAAAAAAGGGAAAAAGCTGACACGGAAAATTGTTTGACGAAGGGAAAATCGAGTCTCGTCATACTTTTTTATTTACTCTTTTAAAGAGTGAATCGCAGAAATAACAACAACAACAAAATTTGAAATCAAAGCAAAGAAGGGAATTGGTATTGTTCAAAAAATGGCTATTATTTCTATCACAGTCTATGCCACCAACGGCAGTGAAGCGGAAAATCGAAGTGATGCCATCAATGAGCAATCATGGAACAGAGTAAGTGCCTTTTTTATATGTGTATACGTCCAATTCAACACACCAAATATTCACAAGCATATTTATACCCACAATATTCTCCAACGAGCTGACTAAAGTCTAAAAAAAAGGTGCATTTAGAAAAATCGTACAGTTTTTTTCGAGTAGATTGTTATGTTATCTGTTAGCAAGCTGTCAGTCTGCAATCAATGTTTAAATCATAATTTATTGACGTCAATTTTTCGAATTTCTCGTACACGGAATAAATATGTTCAGAGAAAAAAAATCAAATATTCGGATAATAAGTTGAAAAAACATGACCAGCTTTTATTCTATTTTTTGAGTCAATTTTTTTAAATTTTATTGCTATGTTGTGCATGCTAATTAAACATAAAAGCGGTTTAACTTATGGGAAAATTATTTGTGACATATTGAACACGTAATTATCATCATTTAATTAAATTAATTAATAAATCAACGTATTGATTGAATTTGGTTTGAGTTGCAGTTCGAGTCTACCTTGATAGAGATCTATAACCACAACAGGTACGATTCGGTCTAGTATATTGCACAGTATTACCACGACTGTATCGTCGCTTCGTAGAAATGATGTGACTAAAATACCCGATGATGATGTATATGTTTCCAATCGCAACGATCCGTTCGTTATGAATTTTGAGAAATGAGCTAACGCGTAGTATATTGGTTGCTTGTAAAACTCTGACGAATCATCACTTATCAAAATGGGTGCATCCTCTCGGTCGACAGTGAGACTAGGACCACCATCCAAGTTCAAAATTAAATTATTAAGAAAGTATGCTTGTGAATCATGTTGCAGATTGTCGATAATATCTCTTACAAGCGCTTCAACATTATTCCACGAACCTAATTCAATGTGTGGAAAACTGGATTCAGTATTATATATGGGCAGTGTGGGATATACGGCATGTGTTAAATCGAGCACGCTTGGTGGAAACCACCTATTTTTACAATTTTGAATTCCAATTGATGTAATAAACTTTGATGCATTTACATTACCCACATTCATTGCGGAAATGAACAGTGGTATACTTTGGCGACAATCGTCATACCCAATGATTTCAACATGTTCAAAGTTTGATGTGCGTAATGTTGGTCCCAGATTCAATGCCAACCATTTACCCATTTTGAATGGATCCCAAGCCAATGGCGAATATCCAGGTTCGTTAATCGATGAATCTGGTCGTTGTCCAGTTGAAATACCCGTAAAATTAATCGATTGATTATTCATCATCTCTAAATATTTTACATGATAATCGGCAAATGTTTGATAGTATTCCGGTTTTAAAATATTACGCACTCCTTTAAAATGTGGCACTCCACGCATCATCCATTGTGGTGCCATTGATGCTGGTCATTTTGAAACAAAATCACAGATAGAAAAAAAAAAAAGGAAAGAATAATAATAAAAAAGTTAATCCATGGGTATTTAGTGACTTACCTACGGCAAAATACTCTATGGTTGGATTTTCTGCGACGCTTTTCAACTCATTTAATTGGGAGGTTTTCAATTGATCTTCTGGATTGAACATTGTGAAATTAGTTAAGCTCGTATCGTTCTCTGGATATTGGTTATAGGTCCACTCACTTCGTGAGTACTTTGAACTGCCGATGGGTATTCGTAACATCGACAAATTCGTTCCATTGTCGGGCGAATATAAACTTTTGTAAACGTACCGTTGCAAATTTATGGGCAACAAACTTGTGACATAGGCCATTGAATCCGTATACGAACCACCCCATCCACGCCAACTGCGCCTAGAGATTACATTTTTGATTTTCACATATGTTTTTTTCACATCGAACGGTGCCGGCACGCTTGCATTTCGATATCGCCTTGGAAATTTTTCAAGTGTAAAATTGAAACGGTCACCACCACGACTACTTGTTACAAGAATCGCTTCATTTTTATTGAACGATACGGGTACATCCAATGTATCACAATATTCCTCGTTTTCTGATACTCGACATACACAAACTAGTTTATCTTCATCTATCCATCGTTGCAGACATGGCCTCGATGTTTGTTCAGCCAAAACTTGAATCAATACAAGCGACAGTGACAACAAAAACTTTGTCCACATTCTCTCACTTTTTTATTTGTTCCGTTTTTTAAACTTCTATATCGATTCACTTGACAGATTGATGAACATGAGTTAGCTCGCAACACTTTCACTCGATTTTTCACAAATGATTTCTTTTGCTCCGGCTCATCGACGTTTTATTATAGTCTGTGTTGACAATGTACAGGCGAAAAAAAAGAGGAAGCACGATTTTTTTCTCGACAGTCATTTGTTTTATCATAAAATCATTGTAACTGAGCTAGAAACTGACATTTTAACTAGACAGAGAATTTGGCCGTTATCTAAATGAGTATAAATTTTACACGGCATACGCATCATTGTTTTTTTTTATCTTTGCGGAAAGGTTATAGCGTCCTTCGCATATTGAATTATAAAGATAATTCATAGAGTGAGGTTGAAAACTTTTTCAATTTTATTGTCACATACATTGCATGTGTGATGCCAATTTTGGAATAAATTTTGTAGATTAGAGACTGTTAGAATTCGATACCAACCAAAAATAACCTTCAATTATGCATGTTAAAAAAAAGTTCATTGGGTGCCCAATAAAAACGATTAAACGTCTTTAAAGTCTATATTGCTTCAAATATGATGATAATAAATTCAGATCAAATGGTGTCGCAAGTGACGCAATACCAACCTACATTTACACATATTTATATATAATAAGTATTTTTGTGTCACTCAATACATTAAAGAAATAAAAATTGAAATGGATGGCTGTGGGGAAGGACAGCCATCACATTTGAATAGCGTCTGGGCTCCGAATCCAGCATGAAATTTGCAAAAATTTTGTGTTTTTCCATCATTAAAATTCCACTTTTTTACGAAATGTGAGAGGCAACACACATAATAAAATGTTTCATGTATTTGATTGCAAGCGTCGCTGAAAATTTATATCATATCATATCATTTTCAGATGTGCATCAGCAGAACAACACTTCGTGTTGGAATACGCTTGTGTTTGATAAATGATGAAGACGAAATTACAGAGTCAGAATTATACATAGCAACAGTTGGATTTTCCAAATGGTTACGGCTTCAATTTGAACTGTCTACGACAAGCTCTGCTTACAATGATTTTAATGATAGATTTATTTTAATTCCTTCATAAGCTCTTTTATGTCGGTCGATTTTAAATTGTTATGCAAACATCTCAAATTGTGGTTATTTAACAGCAAACAGCTCAAAGGGCCTAAATAGTTAACATAGACTGTGACTCGTTTTTTTTAGTAAATCAATTCCGAGCGTTTTTCTTCGTTGGGGGATTCAATGATCGTGACATCGTTTTCGATGTAATTGATAGGAGGATGAAACTTTTTTGCCTAGTTTTCTATTATCAAAATGTCCATACCGTTTAGTGCTCCACTTTAAAATACAAACGACATTCTCATTGAAAATCCAACTAAAATCTTCCCCTCGAATTTGAAGTCGCAAATGTTCTACCATCGCTCATACAAATCAAAGAAAGTCCAAACAATAACAGATATTGTAGGAAAAGCATCCTTTATACGTTTTTATTGAAAAAAAGAATTCTCATTCCAATGGGCATTGGCTAAAAAGTAACCTTTATTGCGATATATCCAATATATAAAACCATTGTATAAAACGAAGTTTGAAATTATTGCCTATTCACTAACTAGTGCAGGTACTACAAAAGACTTCATTCCAAAGTGATTGATGAAAGCTAATTGATAATTTGCCTGGCCGATATTCACAGTTTTCAAAAGGGCCAAAACCAAAATATTTAACCAAAGGCGCAGTAAACTTGTTTTTTATATATTTAAAAATTCTACATTGCATTCGATTATTTTGTTGATTATTTAAAAAAATTTAACGAAATTTTATCGTCATGAAACAGTATTAATTGACTTTTTTGTCCTAATTTATGGTTTTCTGATCTCTCTTTGTTGAATTTAAAAAATGTTTCTGGTACAGATAATTAGAAATTCTTTATCTACTAGGTTTTTCAATATTACCGCTTAAAGAATTAGAGTTATTGAAAATTGTGCCAATGAAAAAAAACGTGATTAAAATTAATTAATTAATTTTTTTACTTTATTCTCAATTTCTTTGTAATTGATTAATAGTGATGTTATTAAGTCCACAAATAGTTTTTGACCAACTATTTTTTAAAATAAATTCATTCAAAAATCACTGTAAAACTCACTACAGTACACTCTAATCAAGTTTACATTCAGTATCAAAGTCTTTAGTTGGAATAATGTCATTGTAAGCACCATAAAATGCATCCAATGAACATTTTATACCGCATCGAATGTTGAGTGGTTTTAATGGAACTTTATCATTTCCACGTTCGTGTTTGTAATAAATTTCAATGTGGAATTTGTCTCCAGTTTTATGAAGTTCGAAAAATAAAGAAGATGAATAGGTTGGGGTTTTTGGCTGCAATAGGAAGGAAAAAAATGAAATATTTAGCGTTAGTCAACAGAATATAATATATCAACTCACCGGGAATATACCAAGAGCATTTAAAATGGTTACTATTGTAACATCGTGTGCTGAGTATATCCAAAGGTTTCGATCCGGTGTCAATGTTTTATTTGCCTTTTGCACAAAATGTTCCAAGATCTCTTTAAATAAAAATCCAGGTCTGATTCGTGCCGTATCTCGTGTTTTTGCATAAAAGCTGAATTGCATATTTGCAACCTTTTCCATATCAGATCCCTCTTTCACCAAATCTTTTAAATATTTTGGAATTCTTCACAGATTTTTTCAATTGTTAGAATATGTGTACAATTTGAATGCAAAAATATTTTTGTAAGAAAACTTACTTTAATCCCTTTGAATGTTCTACCTTAAGGGTGTCGTAAAGCTTATGAACATCTCCGACTGATGCGATTGAGCTATTAGTAAATCGTGTCAAATTTTTCAAAAGCTCATCATGTTGTTTGATAAGAGCTTGTATTTCGTGTGAATTTTTGGCTTTATTGATGGCTAATCGATATCTTGGGCATGGTTTTTTTACACCTAAGATTTCGTCTTCAATTCCCGGAACAGTATGAATTGGAATAGAATGCCACAGGCGGCCAAATTTTTCATTCCAAATCTGTTTTTTTGTTGGTGGAAACATTCCAGCCAATGTATGAGCTGCAGAGCTCAAAGTTCGATCAACGTCGGTGCTCCGGACATATACTTTATCTTTATGATAACCATTCTCTCCAATAAGGTTCTTATATCTCCTTGCAAGATATTCGCCTAGTTCATATTGCTGCTTTCTACCGATCTTTAGATGTTTTTCTTTTAGAATTAGAATATGTATAATGATATGATTTTTTTTAAATAAAATATCTTACGCTGTTGAGTTCACCAAAACCCCCGGGCCAATATTTTTCGTCCTTGAAATCATCCGATGGATATGGCGAAAGTATATTACGTTCGCCATGACGAAATAGCTACAAATATGTACCTTTGTATCATGATGTATCTAATGAAATTTTTAAATTTTACTTACAATATGTGCAAATATCAATCCATCGCCTTGATTTAAAAATAATATTGAAATTTAAGATTTACAAAAATATCGAGATTAATGTTCCAAAACTAGTAAGAAATTTGAATTGAATTTATTGGAAATTTATATAATTCATACCACTTTTCTCCCCTGCACATTGGTACATCTAATTTTTTGGGAAAAAATTACTTGGCTTAAAAAGTTTTTTGAAATAATTTTTTTTCAAAATACTTACACAATACACTATGAAGAATGGAAATAAAAATTGGTTTCTCATTTTAATTTTCTTTCAATATTTTACTTATTTTTATTTCTATCACTTGTTACGGCGACAAACCATATTCTACTGATCTCAGATCCAGTTTTTCTTTTTATTTATTTCATAATCCCAAAATCGAACAAATGTATTTGCTGATGCAAGAATTGTAAACGAAACAAATATTTTAATATCGTTTAATAAGATACCTGTTTCATTCGTAATTCTTAAAATTCCATTTTTAGTTTAAAACAAAAACACATGCGCCATAAAAAAAGGAATAATATCGAAAATTGGAGATTTCTGTTCCAAACTGTTACAATTGTGTACATTTTTAGGGTGTCGCATGTTAGTTTAAAGTCGTTTTTACCACACAAAGAATACGACGAATGTGCAACTGTCTCTAGATGAATTCTCTACACATGTCTTCTATCTGATAATGACTATGAGGCCAAACACCAGAAATATGAAGAGCCATGTATGTGGCGACAATGCATCAACCCATTCGACTATAAAACGTGCCTACTTCATCATTATTTGCTAGGGGAATTTATCTATTCGATGGTTTTGAGGTAAAATTCATATGTTACGAGAATATTCGCAAAATATGGTCCAAATATGTTAAATAATATTGATTGATGGAGCCAAAACTGAAATGACGAATTAAATCGACTACACACCTTCAACTTATTTCACACGATTGAAAAAGTGAAGAACACACATGTTTATGTCTAAGTATTTGACAAAGTATCGTAAACAAACGTTTAATAAGATTACAATTTTGCTGAGTATTTACAATTTTTTTCTACCCAAAATAAAATTGTGTAAGCAGACTTCATTATAACAAGCTATACCAAATGCCGTAGTACATTATTCTCAATCAATTTTTGAATTTTTTTTTGTATGTACTTTGTTTATACGTATATTGCTTTTTTTCAAGGGCACAGAAAATTGTCTATAATTGTTTGAATGAAAAGACGATAATTTTGAATATTCCAATTTATCCATAAAAAAGGCTTTGGTTAAAAGGTTTTAATAAAAATAGATTTTACAACTTGATGAATAACAATAGTTTTGTTAGTTTCAGTGACAAATCTATTTTCGTTCCTTAATAACGCAAACATCTCAAATTGAGAAACAAATAATTGAAGAGAGGACGAGACATAAAAAAATATTTCAACTTCAAAGGAGTGGCAATTGCTTCTTGTCCATAATTTGTCTATATAATCTATCATCTACACTAATAAGTCCATAAGCTCGGTATAGAAAATATGTTAATGATATTTCCGGTGTCTTCTTTAGTTGAGTACACTAATGTATTGATTGATTTCGGCTTCAAATTAAGTTTAACAGTCCTTTGTGAATTGTCTTTTATAGTCAAATCGATTGTCTTTTGTGTATTATAATTGTACAAAATAACTGCAATTTTGTCATCGGGTCGTTGAAAAGCTATAGACAGTACATCTGAACTTGAAACTCCGTATAATTTTGCATCTATGCGAATTGAGTCCGGCAGAATGAATTTCGAAAAATGACCCATTATGTAGAACATTGGTTGTTTGTATATTTCTGTCATTTGCTTATTCAAAATTATTGGCGCATCTGCGATTCCCAAACCGTTGATTGCATTATTTGGTCCGCCATACATATCCAAAATCAAATTCCAGTCGAAAAATCTATTTGAATAAGAAAAGTCCATCAATAAGTACATGTACAATAGATAAGAACGATTTAATCATATTAAAATGAAAAGAAAAAAAAATCATTTGAATAACATACCCAACGGTTGAATGATTGAAAATGTCAAGCAATAATGTAACTGAATCTTCGCCTCTGTCCCATAAACCTAGTCTTGGACCTTTCATTGACTCATCCGTAAACTCTATACCAAAACACATCTCAATGTACCATATTTCCTTATCCGGAAACTTTCTCTGAATTTCGTCAAGCATCTCTGATTTTGTATTTCTGTCGAAACTACCACCGAATTTTTCCTGAAGTTTGTCAAGTATTGCGGGATTGCCATTGCCACTGTCGAGATAGCCATGAAACTGAAGCGCTGAGAGAGAATCAAATGATTTTGCGTTCGATTTTTTCATCTCATTTTCCCAACTTCGATAAAAAATCCGACTGTCATCGAATCCAAATATTTTAACATTGGAAAATCTTGAATTTTGTAATGCCGGTGCAAAATAGTCAGCAATCCAATTTGCATGATTAGATGCATGAGACACCCCACTGGAGCTAAAATACTTCATATCTTACCCTGTTGAAATTGCCCAAATATCAATGTTCTGATTTCGCATCAATTCCATCCATATCAGGTGATATTGGGCCCTATAACAATGAAACTCATAATTTTCTGTCGATTTAAGTCGATTGGTTACCATGTTCCATAGTATGCCGGTAAAATGTGACTATTTTTCAAAGCCATCCATGATTTATTTTGCTTCATCCAGCGCGGAGGCGTCCAGGCTAGAGGAAAAAGAACAACCTTCACTGTTTATTATTACTTAAACTTGATGATAAATTCTGTATAGTGTATTTAATGTTTCAAAAGTTGAATGTTTCGAAAGTTCGTAATATTTGCACCTGCTGCCAAGTACTTCACATTTTTATTCCCCGAAACGTGTGCCAGTTCATTTAGTTGTCTATTTCGCACAAAATCTCTTTCGTCAAGTTTAGTAAAGTTTGATAATCTTGCATCGGGATATTCGTCGTTGTATGCCCTATAATATTTAAATTATATCAAAACTAAACTTAAATTATCGGCTGAAGTGCATTTCTTGGAAATATATTTCTGTTTTTTGTACAAGATTTGCATCGCTCACCATGGTTGTCCGGCATCAAAATCTGTGCCATCGATCGGAATTCGAAGATACTTATAGCCCATTCCGGATAATTGTGAGAAATAACTGTTATAAAAACATTTTCGTAAATTTGGCGACTATTTATCGACCAAGTAAGTGACCGAGCCCTTGTATCCGCCTGTGACATTTTTAGTATAATTTATTTGATTGATTGCGAATCAAATTGTTTGTCATAATACCTCCAAAGCCACGAATTTGCTGGTATACTTTTGACGAATCAATCTGCAGATATGCCGTTGTGTCATTCTTTGATTTTTTGAGTCGACCTTTTTGATAAATAAACCGATCACCAGCCTCGGAAGACGTAACCAAAGTATACTCATTCGATTTTGGCATCGGAGCATATAAGGAATCACAATAATTTTCATCACAAACACACACATAGCCGTATTCAACTCTTCGCTTTATACATGGTTTCTGCGTATTTGCGTTGAAATTTGGCAAAGAAGTTACTAAAGAACACATTACTAAAACAACGAAAACAACAAACTTTCGTCATTCCATTGCAGCTCAAAACTATTTTCCACTTGATATAACTTTGAAACACAATATGCGAAAAGCACTTGACTCATTTTGGAAACAATTCACCACAAAGATCCATTTAAAATGTCTGCATTTTATGATGGAGTCAACAACATACGCAGCGGAACGCAATGCAAGCAAACATTACGATATGTTATTATTATTCAGTTTAGTACTTCATACAACCTTATATATTATTTATGTTTGTCTTTTTCTTTATCGTACATTGCAGAAAGCTCATGAAATAAAATGAACATCAAAGAACATGTTGAAATGATGAATTGAATCGAATACACACCTTTCATTTTACACGCGTGCTTATGTCTGACTATTTGACAAAGTATCGTAAACAAACGTTTAATATGGTTACAATTTTGCTGAGCACATATACATTTTTTCTACTCATACTAAAATTATGTAAACATACCGACTTCATTATAGCAAAAATACCACTGTACGAAATCAATTTTTGAAAATGTGTTTTTGGTACTTATAAATTGCTTTCAACTAAGAGCGCACTACTGAAAAGTAGACCTAGTATGCTCCCCGTACAAATCCAATCCAAGAGCACAGTTTTTCTATATATTTTTGAGTGAAAAGATTGAACATTTAAATTTATCCGTAAAAGGGGTTTTGGTTAAAAGGATTTAATAAATATACAGATGTATTACAACTCAATGAGTAATTATAGTTTTACTAGTTTCAATGATAGATCTATATTCATTCCTTAATAAGCTATCTTATGTCGGTCGGTTTCAAAATGTTATGCAAACATCTCAAATTGAGAGGCAAACATATCAAAGTAAATAGAATTAAATATTATGTACGAATTGATGTGCTAAATGTTGCTACCAATTTTCTGGAAATATATTTTGAATTTGTGGCTATTTATAATGAGTGGCTATTGCTTGTCTATATGTCCATAATTTATCTATATCATCTATCATCTATACTAAGTCCATAAGCTTGGTATAAAAAATATGTTAATGATATTTCCGGTGTCTTCTTTAGTCGAGTACACTAATGTATTGATTGATTTCGGCTTCAAATTAAGTTTAACAGTCCTTTGTGAATTGTCTTTTACAGTCAAATCGATTGTCTTCTGTGTATTATTATTATACAAAATAACTGCAATTTTGTCATCGGGTCGTTGAAAAGCTATGGTCAGTACGTCTGAACTTGAAACTCCGTATTTTGCATCTATGCGCATTGAGTCCGGCAGAATGAATTTCGAAAAATGACCCATTATGTAGAACATTGGTTGTTTGTACATTTCTGTCATTTCCTCATTCAGAATTATTGGCGCATCTAAAGATGCATTTCCTGTGAATGAATCCATCGGACCGCCTTCATATGATAGAATCAAATTCCAATCCAAATACCTATATATGAAACAAATTGAAAGTTCCACAATAACATTGATTCTTTGCAATCGGTGTTTATTTCAAATTGATTAGAACAAATGGATTATTTCAATGTTGCCCAACAGCAGAATGATTGAAAATTCCCATCAACACTAATTTGGCTAATTCATCAGCTCTACTCCATAGTCCAAGCCGTGGACCTATCTATTAGACCTATGCCATAAGACAATTCAGTGAACCATACAAAAATATATAAAAATTCAAAACGACTCCAATCAAATTCAAAATCTTCTTCACGCGGCGTCAATTTTAGATTTGAGTTTCATAGTATGCGGGTAGCAATTGACTATTTTCCAAACCGAACCATTCTTTTTTTTTCATCCAGCGCGGAGGTGACCTTTTGATTTTGTTTACACAATAAAATGCGATGAATAATCATTATTTGAAAAGGCGGATATTTACCATGCTGCTGCTAAGTACTTGACATGTTTATTCCTTGAAATGAATGCCAATTGTTCAAGTTGTTTATTTCGCTTTATATCTCTTTCGCCAAGTGTTGTAAAATTCGATAAATTTGCATCGTCCAAAGGTGTCTCATTATAAGCCCTATGTTTAAACCAGTATCAAAATTATAATTCTGAGCTTTTTATCATATTTTAGTCGCTTACCAAGGCTCTACATCACAATCGGTGTCACCGATCGGAATTCGAAGATATTTATAACCCATTCCAAAGGTTCGTGAGAAGTAGCTCTTAAAAAAGCATTGACGTAAATTTTGACGACCAAATATGTTACCGAACCCGTGTATGCACCTGTGGTAAAATATTATGTGATTGATTGCGCGCTTGGAAGTATTTCAAAGTTTGTATAAGCTGGATGATTAAATAGTTTATAATACCTCCAAAACCACGTATTTTCTGGTATACTTTTGACGAATCAATCTGTAGATATGCCCTTGTGTCATTTGTTGACTTTGTGAGCTTACCTTTTTGATAAATAAACCGATCACCAGCCTCGGAACACCTTACCAAAGTATATTGATTAGATTTTGGCATCGGAGCATATAAAGAATCACAATAATTTTCATCACAAACACATGCATAGCCGTATTCAACTTTTCGCTTTTTACATGGTTTCTGCGTGTTTGGTAAAGATGTTACTAAAGAAAACATCACTAAAACCACGAAAATTACAAACTTTCGTCTTTCCATTGCAGCTCAAAACTATTTTCCACTTGATATAACTTTGAAACACAATATGCGAAACAATTCACCAGTCAGATCCATTTATAATGTTTGAAATTTATGATGGGGTCAACAAAATTCATACAACATACGCAGTGGAACGCAATGCAAGCGAATAACTACGATATGATGTTATTATTCAGTATAATGCCTACTTCATACGTAATATGATGCAATGCGTCTGTTGAGCACAAAATATTCACAAATTATTTGTGTTTGTCTCTTTCTTTGTATGCAGAATGATGATGTGTATGGTGATGATATGTTATGTTGTAAATGTAAAATATTTATAAATGTACTACGTACTACAGAAACTCTTAACTTAACTTAAACGAGCATTAAAGAACTTTTAATTTTGAGTGATGGGAAATCTTGCATCAGTGTATTTATTCATTCATAAAAAGGAATGAGCAAATTAATGAAGCTGATATTGAAACGACTGTTTCTATGACAATAAATTCAATTTCAAAACTTAAAATGTGTTCGTTGAATGGAAAATGTCAATTGAAATGTATGAATGTTTTAAATTATAAAAATCTGCTTGTAAATCATATCTGTGTAACGTCTTCATTTTACACACAGAAAAGCGGCGAATGAGATTGTTTTGTTGACACGGTATTTAATTATGTCTGGCAAAATATTTCAAACAAACAAGTATGGTTTCGTGAAATAATTCCATTGAATTTTATGAAACACAGAAGTGCATTTACTAAAACTAAATATCTGTGGCATGGTTTGTTAAATGTGCTGCATGATTTTTTTTTAGTAAAAAGCCTATTTAAAATCAATGAAAATTAAATTAAAATGAATATCCATAAATGACAAACGAAGTGGTTCAAGTAACTTCATGTGGGTAAACGAAATTTGACTAGGGAAGAATTCATTTTATTATCGAATCAATTACATTCATGATTATTCTCTATAATAAATATTTATTTGACATTCAGTTTTTTTTATTTACACATCTGGTAAAATATTTGATTTTGGCAAATGGAACAATCGAATATTTTGAACCATAATGTTGTAAGTATTATATAATTCAAATTCCATAAGTAACTAACAAAATTCAATCCGTAAAAGAGGCTATGTTTCCTAAAACCTTTCCATTCTCAAAGAAATCAATTGAATTTTGGTTTGAATTGACTAATGATTCGTTGGTGACTAAGTATAGTTAAATAAATATTAAATTATTTTTGCGTGAAAATTGGTATCAAATTGATAATTGATATCAATAATTGATGTACATCAGATTTCATGAAAGCACAATGACTCTTAAGTGCAACGTTAATATTTAAAATTTCATTTCTAAAATATATTGAATAAATTAGCAGCATTTCTTTCTTGATTTCGAGCGTTTACAGTTAGTATCATAAACCAATGTATTAATCGATTTTGGTTCCAATTTGATATTAACCTTTCCCTTTGTTTTGTCGTTAACCGTCAAACCAACCGATCTAAGTTCATCATTGTATATGATCACGGTGATTTTCTTGTTTGGCTGCAGAAAGGCTGCGGTTAACAATTTGTCACTCATGCATCCTGATATTTTGGCATCAATTCTAGTGGAGCCGGCGGGAATGAATTTCGAAAAATGTGCCATTACATAAAAAAGCGGTTGTTTGTACATTTTTTTCTTATCTTTGCTCAGTATTATTGGCGCATCGATTGAATTGTTTATATAACTGGGACCACCTGTGTGGTCTAACATCAAATTCCAATCAATGTATCTAAAATAGAATTGTTTGAAAAATATTGATTTTATATTTAGTGACAGAATTAACTCACCCAACTACCCAATGGGTCAAATTTTCAATAAGAATTTTAATAAGCTCTTCAGCTCGTTTCCATAAACCTAATCTTGGGCCTATATTCTTTGTCATGAAAAAAGCACCAAAACACATTTCTGTATACCAAATTTCTTTGTCCGGATATTGTTCCATTAACTGATCGAGATATTCGGGACCAAGCGCTTTATCCGAATAAGCATGAAAATCGAATGCTGAAACAAAATCGAACGCTTCTTCATCGCCTTGTTTCATTCTATTTAACCAATCGGGAGCCAAATCCCGATTTTCATCGAATGCATGGATTTCAACATTGGAACCTATCAAGGTTGGTCCTAGGAATTTCGCAATCCATCGACTTTGGTCGTCTGGATTCCAACTTAGGATTTGAGACGTAATTTGAGCAGCCGATTTTGGTTCATTGCCTAACCAAGAATTGATCGTTATTAATTTATTAATCATTTCGAATTGATCTGGATGTTTATGGTCAAGAAAATCGCCTTTTAAACGCTTTTCCTTTTTTTACCTGTGGAAATTGCCAAAATATTCATATTGTCTTCCTTCATGAGATTTATCCAACGCAAATGATAGTCGGCCCAAGCTTGATAGAATTCTTTTTTCAGTTGATTGTCCGTGCCACCTCCCCACCTTCCCAGCTCTTTCCAACTTTTTGGCGGTCCCCATGTGCCTCCTAATATTTTTACATCTTGATTTTTTGAAACACACATCATCTCTTTAATTTGTGCATTTCGTCGGATATCTCTGTGATTGAGTCGCGTAAAATTTGATAAATTTGTATCATTTTCGGGGTACATATTGTAGGCCCATGGTTCGGTATCAAAATCACTTCCACCAATCGGTATTCGAAGTAATGTATATGCCGCACCAATGGTATGTGAAAAATAACTTTTAAAAAAACACCGTCGCAATTTTGGTGATAAATAATCATTTACTAAATTAGTTATAGTAGTTGTATAGGCACCACCGAATCCACGAATTTCCTGATACATTTCCGATTGATCTATTTCAATCACATTGCTACAATTTTTATCATCTGCGCCATTCTCAAATGTTCCTACATCGTAGATAAATCGGTGTTTATTTTTTGACGATGTAACCAAAATATATTCATCACCGCATGGTTCAGGCATTTTTAAATCATCACAATAGTTATCCGAATTCTCACACACATAACCATAAGTTGTTTTAATTATTTTACATGGTTTTCGGGTATGCAATGCAACTGAAGACAATGAAATCCCTGAAACGATCCAAACAAAAAACACTTTCCATTTCATTATAGCAACCAGTTGAACAATTCGCCACACTGGAATTAAGACTTGAACCAAAAACGTAACTGTACCAATACAATTGCTGACAATGACTTTAACGCTAGATTTATTTCAATCGTCTTTTATAAGCCCCAATATGTCGGTCAAATTAAAATCGCAGTGCAAACATCTCAGAATGCGGTCACTGAAGTATGAACCATTTAAAATTATTTATATCAACATATGTTTTTTTTCTTCTCTTAATTGATTTTGAATTTTTAAATTTAGAAACATCTTATTCAATTATTTTTTCAATCTGTTTGGCAAAATAATACTTGTTGAACTGATTTTTATAATGAAATAAATAAAATAGCAGTTTATTGACAAAGTAAAAAGTATACTGAGTAGAACAGTCCTTCTCATTTCTATTTGTTCAGTAAAAATCTCAGCAGTCAGGTTTGGGAGCAATTTGGAAAAGGTGATTTATTATAAACATTCGACTGAACAAGTGAAGTGAAATATTTTTTAATATGATTTTTTGATGTTATGTCTGAAATGAAAAATATTCCCATGAAAATATTTGGCTTTACAAAATCTTCAAAGCAATTATGAAAAGATGTTTTTATTGATTGAATTCATTGGCTTCACTTGTGTTTGGGGCGCATACCTATGACGCGCCATACCATCCATAATATTGGCGTGGGAAAAACATAGTCATATTATCAATTTCCAAATCTTGATAACAGCGGAAAATAAGCAGATGCTTGGAAACAAATCCGTTTCAGCCCATTGTGCGGATTGAAGAGAAAGAAAATATCAAGGAGACGTAGAAAGATGGATTAGCGAGAATAATCTCAGAATAAGATACAAATCTTATTAGAAGTATTTAAAATGAAGGTAGAGATCGGAGATGATATAAAGTTTTCAATTGATTCCACGTATTATTCTTACCAGACATGCACACGTGTTCGTTATTCATACGTATTTTATTTAAATTTATTGGTTTGTTGTCATGTTACAAACTTTCTTGCCATGTTGAACAATTGAATCGTTGGCCTTATAAATATATTACAGTAATAACTAGCATACATGCACAATGCATTGCATATATCAAGCATGGATTCATCGCAAAACATAAAATTTAATAACATTTTCAACATTTTTCTCTTGACGGCTACGGCTTTTTGTTCTCAAACTTTAATTAAAAAGTCTGACCAAAAGCTTGAAATCACCGAGAATAAATATATTACAGTACATGAACGGCATCATTCACTTGCAATTTTATTGTAAGCAAGGCAGAAAGAAAAACGCTGATTTATAATCATTATTCAACTAACTGTAAATGCCAAATATTTGAACTATTTCAAAATCTATGAATTCATTGAGTGAATTCTGTGTATTTTCGATTCTGTGTATTTCAGACATGAAACTCTTGAGACAGAACTTCTGTTGAATATAATATAATAAATTTCCAAAAAATAAATTTGTTTGAATTTATTCCACGGTATTTTCAATATATTACTATAAAGGAGTCTTTGAATTGATAAATTCTGTATGATGTTCGTTTGAATTACCTCATGAGCCGAACGTTTTTACAAATTTTTATAAATTAAGTCAATAAAATTGTGTCAAATCTATGTTTCTTATAAATATTTGACTAATTTGTAATATTTGAATGCAATCCATCACAGTTAAAAATGTAGATGATATTAAGATTAAGATTCAAAGTGTAATTTGTTTTGTTGCGTGTTATCTGAATATGAACATGCTGAAACAGACCAAAATTAGAATACTCAATAACAAACCATAAAACTGTGATATAGAAGTGCTTGTTGAACTTTAATTGCAATGGAAAACTGTTGAAAATTGTCTATTTTTATCCCTTCTGTGTTTTTTTTAATTTCTTATTAATTTTTTGAGAAATAGATTAATCGAGTCATTTTGCTTCAATTTCCATCGAATACATAGCCGAGATTGAAATCTCTTTCAATTGACACTGAATATTACAATTATTTAATAAAAAAAAACTTCCTTTTTATTGCTGTATTGTCTCTTTATTGTCTTTAATTCTTATCAGATGGAATAAATTAACGAATTAAGAGATTTTGGTTTGATTTGAAGATCAATTGTTCCTTTGGATTCGTCATAAATTCGTAGAGAAATGGTGTAAAGTGTATGCTTATTATAGAAAATAATTGCCACTTTTCGATCTGGCCTAAGGAATGCTAATGAGCTTAAATTGTCCACATTATCCCCCGAAACATGTGCTTCAATACGTTTTGAGCCGGGCAAAATGAATTTTGTAAAATGAGCAGCCGCGTAAAAATTTGGTTGTTTATATATTTCGGTGAAGTCGTCGTTAACAATAATCATCGCATCAACAACATTATTCATGTAATTAGGCCCTCCACGTATATCCAAAATGATGTTCCAATCCAAAAATCCATTTACATTATGCATCAAAGTTTCCATCAACATATTGGTCAATTCTTCGAAATGTAGCCAAGATCCTAAAACATTTTCGATTAATTACTACTGATGAATGCTTTATTTACTATTAAGACCAATCATAATACGAGTATCAACATAAGTATTATGTATTAAGATCGATCTCTATGCTCATGTTGATACTCGTATTGTGATTGGATCTTAATAGCTAACAATGTTAGTAATAAGTATTAAGATACGTCAATACTTCTGTTTTATTATAACTCGAAAAACTTAATTTTATCGTCATGTGAGAACGTTTAATTAATTTCAAAAATCTCACTTCATTGTATCCTTAAAAATGTCTCCTTGAGTTAATATTACTGACATTTTTAGCTATTAAGATCCAATCACAATACGAGTATCAACATGAGCAAAGAGATCGATCTTATGATAATACTCATGTTGATACTAGTATTATATCATACCTAAAGTCGGACCAGTTGAACTCAATGGGCCCTCAACGCCGAAACACATTTCTGTATATAAAATGGATTTATTCGAGTATTTCGCTTTTGTTGCATCCAAAATTGTTGGTGACGTGACATTGTCAAAATATCCATGAACAGCGAACGCTGAAACGTAATCAAAGGCGCCCGCAGCCGATGCTTGCATTTCGTCCAGCCATGATGACAGGACGTCACGATTATCATCAAATGCGTGTATTTGCACCGAAGAATGTTTGGAATTTTTCAATGTGGGCCCCAAATGTTTTTCAATGAAAACCGCTTGGGAATTTGCGGACCACGTAAGTCCCAAAAATGGTGTAAAATTGGCAAAAAATGGCTCACTAAAAAAATTAAACTCATTCAGTGAAGCTATAAATTCGTCCGGAGTCCGGAGTCAAAAATACTTTAAATCTTCTACTTACTTTCCTGTTGATATGGCCCAAATGGATAAATTTGCAGCCGATTGCATAAGGTTGAGCCATTTGACATGATAGTCTGCCCATGTTTGCCAATATTCAACTTTCAAGCGATTGCTATTCTGTCCTGACCACTCGCCTCTTTCCTTCCGAAAAAACACAACATATTAAAGAAAAATCAAACAAGTGGAATGTAACAAATGAAATTTATTTATATTAACCTCTCCTTCATCCATCGTGGTGGACTCCATGCAACGCCAACTATTTTAATATCGAAGTTTTGCGATACATTCATTAATTCCTTAATTAGTTCGGTTCGAAGAGTATCCTTCGGATGCAACTTTGTAAAATTGGTTAGTTCAAAATCGTCCAAAGGTAGCTCGTTATATGTCCATGCTTCCACATCGAAATCGCAACCGCCAATTGGCATTCGCATCAAAGTATAGCCAAGCCCATCATCGTTCGTGTAGTAGCTCTTGTAAATGCATTCACGCAGATGTGTTGGCAGCTTGTTGAGAATGAACGATACAGCACCAGTTACTGAACCACCAAAACCAATAATTTCATGATGTAACGCATTTTTTTTAATTTCCATAAAAGTTTTGCTCGGATTGTCATGCTGTAAATTGAATTTGCCAAATGAAAAATTGAAACGTTGACCTGATTCTGTCGTTGTCACCAACAACCATTCATTTTCATTGTCCATATTCGGAATATTCAAAGTGTCACAAAAATCATTCGTACACACACAAACATAACCAGCATTAAATTTTCGCAACTGACATGGTTTTCGGGTTGGTAAATGTGGAAAAACCGATTTTAATGTGAAAATCATTAAAAATATTGAAATTTTTATCATTTTTTTTCTCATGTGCTAAAAAGCTCACAACTGAACTGACTATGTTGAATATGTTCAAACTTTGTTTTGAATCAAATGACGTTTCAGCAAAATTCACAAACAAACTACATCATCAGCATCAAACTTTTTTCTCAATGGTATTCTGAATAATTTACATTTATTGTCAGAAATTCGAAACACTCTGATTCATAACGATTATTAAACTGAATGAAAAACGAAATATAGACGACTAGTGATACAATTCGATGGCCGTTTGAACTCATCAGAATTGTATCAATCAGAAAACGTGATTATATTGAAATGATCATATGTCGTAAATATGTCAATATTTTCATCATGCTGCAACTGAAATCAACCGTTTTGCATTATTCTCATATTCATTTCAATCTCATTCTATATATACAACATATTGAATTTGTATTACGTTGATTGCGCGTTGCGCGTTCAATTTATTTTTGTTCATAAGTTGAACATTTTTTGTTCACGATCGTTAATCGAAATCGATACGATGTTCAGGAAACGCATTACTTGCGCATTTATTGTTTATCATAACGATGTGTGTATTGGCGTGTTTACAATCGTAATCTAAACTACTTTAGTTTCATCGTCGTCATCGACGTTACGATCGACCGTCACATGTATGCGAACACACTTTTTTAGCTCACGTATTTTCATTTAATGTGCCAAACAAAATCTCTTTGCAAAACAAAAAAATACTGTTTTCTATATGGGTCTTATCTTTTGATGATAAAACTCCAAATGATTAGATAGCACAGATTAGGATGAAACCGAGAGAATTTGAATGACGATAAACAGCTGAACAGCGTGCTATATTCACAAAACGGTTGAGCATACATGGCGCACAAAAAACCGCCACGAAACTAAAATGGCATATAAAATTGTGCGAACACATTGAACATTAGCAGTACTTTGTTTGTCCTCAAATGAAAACATCATCAACATTGGATAGTGTGTGGTTGTGCAGCGTGTGTGCACCGCGTACCAGCAACAGCGCTCCGTCAATATACCCAACTCAATGTACGCCCAGTGCAAAAAAAAAGACAGCAACCATTCAAACAATTTAGTTATTCGTAAACTGCGTTTATGGCAACTTCATTAAAGGAGTGTGAGCATCACAAACGCTTTGACAATAAGTTGTGAAACGACACGAAAAATATTAACAACACCCGACTATACAAAGTTGTGCGTCCCGACTTAACTTTGCCGTATGATATAGACAAGAAGCTTCTAGTTGATTCTCATTTCAAGCCACATGGGTGACATGTATATATGCCAAAGAAACTTATGGAAGCCATAAAAATAAAAACCAAAGCGATTATACAGTGTTATAAAAAATAAAATTCAGAGAGAAAGCAAATCAACAGAGTGAGAGATAATAAGAACATTTTTTATATGAATTTGTGAACTTATTAACGTTACCGCAGTGACACCATCACATATTGAAAATTCACCGACTGAATACTGTGATAAATGTACAGCGACAGACTTCATGATATCTTGATCATTGTCACGTGAAAATTTGTATCATAAATAGTGTTCTTAGACTGAGAAATTACGCATTAATTTAAAGAAATTAGTTGGATGTGCGTGCGTGTGTATTTGTTTTGCGGTGATCGAAATTCGAATAAAATAATTCAATGATAATGATTTCGAATATGGAAACAAACGATACAACCATTGTAAGTGTATAAGAGGCTTGCGCTCTATCTTAATCGATTTTTTCTTTTCAAATGAACATTTGTAAAGCCATTGGCAGATAGAATGAAAAAAACTCTAGAAAAAATTGGTCAGGTGTTTTTGTGACAACTTTTGATCGAACCGAAAATGGAGTATTTGCAATATATAGGAAACAATAGAAATTATTATGATAATACGAATATGATCAATCGTTGGATTTAAAAATAAACTTGTTGTTATTGAACATTTCCTGATTACTATCACGTCACACTTGACTATTGATCGGAAAATTTCTTTTCTTTAATTTGTTAAACGTATTTAATAATTATTTATTGATTATAAGCGATAATAAAATGTACTGTGTGTGTGTGTTTTACTCTTTATTTCTATCTCTCTCTCTCACACACATTCAATCTAAGTGTGTGCCGCTTGTGAAACACATTTTGTAAACAAACAATTTAATGAGAGCAATAATTCGTTGCCGTTTGCAAACATGACTCTCACATCTTATACGAAAATAAAACCTGTTTGTTTGTTTGTTAAACATCTTCATTTTCGAATCGAATGGTGTAAATTGAGAAATTATCAAATACAAAACGAAATGAATTCCATTTCTTTTCATTGATTAGCAGCTGCTCAATCCAGACATTCGTGAATAGATTGAAAAGAAGGCAAAGCATCGAAAACAATTCATTTGCATGAACACTTATCAATGTTTACACAGATTATTATCACAGCAATCATATGCATTTTTTGAGTTATTTTTTTTTTGTATTTTGTCACATACATAATACGTCAAGTCAATTAATTACTTTCCATTTTTTTTTCTCTATCTCTCTGTACTTTAGAAGAGCACAAGAAATCCATATGTTGACATCTTTGTGGCCATAATTACGGTACCAACACTAATTCTGCTGGCTTTGCTGTTGGATGCAAACATTTCAAGTGACAATGATTCGCCGGCTGAGACTCGCTCAACGTTTATCGTGTTGATTTTCGGATTTGCATTTTTGGTTTTGAGTTCGCTTGTCTGTGGATGTATATTACACAAAATGAATATTTGTGCTTGGAATCATCGACAATATGAGGAAGAAGTCATTTCAGCAGCGAATCGTTCCAATTCCATCGATTGTGTACATGTAATTGATTTGCCGCCGACGTATGAGGTTGCCACGAAACAAGGAAACTTTCCAGCATTGTCATCGTTTTTAAAGCCACCGCCAACATATGAAATGGCTTGTAGTACTGAAAAACTTGCCCAAAGCAACTCCACCGGTACCATCCATCACATTTGATGCTTGTGGTTAGCGACACAACATTTATAACTGAACTTTTTATTTTTGTATTTATAAATTTACGAGGAAAAAAGAAGATGATTTTGTAGCATGGTTTCTCCTTTGCCTGAAATTTGTAGTTTTAGAAATTTTTGTATGAAATGTGGAAATCGGCAGATGAAATGAATGTTTCGATATCCGACACATTCAATCAATGGAAACGAAATTATTGAACATCGAGCTTAAGTTATGGATATATGTTTGATTCATGTAGTTAGCATGTGATAATTCAACGGAAACGAACATTTGGTAATATCGTGCATATTATTCTGATAGCATAGCAACGTTTAGAGTAAAAGAAGACTGTCACAGATGAGTGTTCATCACTTAATCAAAAAAAGTATTAATCAAATAAAAAAAATTGATAGATGTGGAAAAAAACGGAAATCAATCGATGAGCACTTGACTCGAACGTGTTTTAATTCTATTTTTATACAGGCCATTGTTAAAATTGTCTCAAGGGTCCCACTTAAATGACAATAGACATTCCACCTCTGTGAAAATAAGTAAGTAAGTAATATTGAAGCAGGTGAGGTAAATTCATTCATTTGGCTATGAAACATTTTTTGGACGTATACAATTTCATTCAGCACGTAATTCAAACCACAAACCATTCATATAACAATGTTAAGTACGTACTTAAAGTAATCGCTTAGGTACGAATGACTTATCAGTGTGTGTATGTGTGTTCGCGATAGCAAATCGTGAGCATATACATTTCTCTCGCTCTCTGCCAGCAAAACACGACATTGACAGTTGTCACATCTACATAAATTGTTTGTTTTTTTTTTCATCGTTGTTGGCTTATTGTATTTCATTTCTGCTTTTGCAGAAGTTTCACAATCATTTGGAAAACAAAAAAATTATGATTATTATCCATATGCTTAATCAATTTAAATCACTCTTATTGTCGATCATTACGCTTTGCCGACGAGCGTTATGTTGTTTTTCACGCCGACGAAAGTCATCGTTTAGCGAGTGTGAAATGTTAACTAGTGTAAATGTAGTCAACAGTAGCCACGAAACAAGACATCATCGTGGTGAGGTAAGAGAAAATACGCTTGTTCTGAGAATAGAGTTGTTGCATTTTAACATATCGTTGGGTATGTCATATAGGTTGATCGGGATTGGAACTCATGGGATGATTCACCGCGAACAGTCACCGAACACATTGAACAGTATCGACAGAAATTGGTCCAACCAAAAAACGAAGAAAACAACGAGCCGGCAATTGATTTCTTTCAAGTTAGTAATTTGTTTGATTTTCAAAAGAAAGAAAAAGTTTCATTTGTATTTTACTCAATTCAGGATATGGCTCCAAGTGTGATTAAACAAAAGAAAGTGTTTATTGATACGAATAAAAATGGCGATGAGAATTTTTCTCGTTTGCAAGCAACGGGTGCGGCTGCCATTCCACGCTTACAAACGGCTGAACTGGAGGATTGGAGTGATCACGATAATGATGATCACGAGGAAACTGGTTGGGAAGAAGTCAACGATGAAATGACCAAAGAAATGATACGAGAAAAACGACGGGAAGCAAGAGCACAACGACATCAACGGCTACAACAACAAAAACTCCAACAAAACCAAATGAAAAGTGGCCTTTATCCGCATGCACATCCGTGAAATGTAATAAACATTTTTAGACATGTTTATTTCCAGTTTGCGTTTGATTTCATTTCAAATAGCATTTAGTTAGATGTTTAAGATGAATTTTATTGTGCAAAGCATTTTACTGTATAGGTATACATAGACAGATGAACTAGCAGATGAACAAAAATTGATCTTTAAAGCAATTGAACTCACATTTACTACAATTTAGCAAAGAAAAAACACAGTTTCATTTAGATGTGAGATGCAATTCAGTTTTCGATATGTGAATTCGTATTTTAAATTGTTTTGTTTGTTTGATATTTGTATTGAATGGGGAAAACAATAAAGTGTATTTAAGATTCCAGAATTTTATTGATATTAAGCAAATCTTTGGTGGACCATGGTTCCAATGGATCGGGTGAGGAATCTTCATCTTTTTCTACGCGTGACATAAACTTTGCCGATCGAGTGCGACTTGTTTTTTTCGTTACTGGCTCAAGATCCTCATCGGTTGGCGCAACACTGAAAATGAATTTTAACAACAATAACAAGCCATTTACAAAAAATGTAAACAAATGTATACCGATTAGATTTTGTTTTTGCCGAACGACTTTTTGAATGCTTCGATTTGCGGCACTCTTCCAATTTTGCGCTGGGCGGTGGTTGCCCTCGTCGTAAATGAAACAATTCCATGTGACGCTTTACCTCTTCGGGTGTTGGAATGTCATCGTCTGATCCATGTTCATCATCGTCAACATTAATATCGATTGCACGCGAGTCTTGTCTAGTGAGCGATTCATTTTTTGCAATTGATTTTTGATTTTCCCAAGCAACACTGAACAACGGATGCTTATCATTGATTCGACGTTCGATTATACTACGCGATACAGCCGATTTGGCTCTTCGGATTAACGAAACTTTACCCAAAATTGGTCGTTCAACGTTCATAACACCTTCGGTATCTGATTCTTCCATTGCACTTATTTTCATTAGAAATTCACGCTCTTTCACCGGATCAACCATATTAGTTTTATCTTGGAAGGCTGTTGTCAGGCTCTTGGCATCTTGTGGTACCATTGCTGGCGTGACCAGAGTGGCTGGCTTTGGAATCGGTGTTGGTGCCGTTTTTGTTTCCAAATGAATCTCTTTGACGTGACTCAAAACACTCGCTTCTTTTGCCAAATTCGTTGCATAACTTTCGTCAACTTTAGCCGACGTATTTTCAGACATTAAAATCAATTCACGCAAAGGGTCTTTGAACACCTTGTCTGCATTCTATATTTGATTCAAGGTTTTAATTCAATTGAGCTCTTTTATTCTTATTGAAATATTGTAGTGGATCTCACCTCAACATCCAAGCCCAATCCAATAGCAATTGCATCGTCAGTCATCATTACGATGTCATGAGCGAATGACATTCGATCGACGGCTGTACTAAGTGCTCCAGTTGTAGCGACACCGGCTGCATTAACAGCTTGTTGTCCAATTCCCATATTCTGTGTCATTTTTCTGCAAATAAAAATAATTAAATTTGTGTTTTTCTACAATTAATTAGTATGCAAAGTACAAACTTTTTCGAAACTTTAGTCGGCGATGTGATAGATGCCCGTCCCCACATAATTCGTCTTAATTCTTCTCCCGTTAAACCTCGCGATTTCAATGCATTCAACGTTACCTTTCCGACTCGTTTCCAATTGGAGACCGCCCCTTTTCGTTGCTTTGCTCGTGTTTTTGACTTACTTTTTATAACCATAACACCTCGTGTTTCGTAGCCCGAATCATCTGCTGGACCCAACGGAATCGAATATTGTTCAAGATATTTTTGTGCATCGGATTGTGAGACGGCTCTTTCCAAGGTCACGACAATTTTTGCCCATTGCTTCATCCACTCTTTTTCAGATTGTTCAATTACATGTGCGTAGGTATTTCCCATCATAGCGATCAACATGTTTAACAAAAGAATTGGAACGAAAATCATAAAAATAACAAAAACCGTTTTAGCCAAATTGGGATAGGTTGTGTTATTCAAGTCTGAATAATTATAATCGCCCAATGTTGTTTGGAATAATGCCATCCAAGTGGTGGGATACGTAGCAAATAGTGTTTGCTCCACTTGCGGATGACCTTTATAGAGAAAATAAAAGGCCTGCGAAAATCCGAATAAAACAATTACATAAATGATGCCAAATGTAAACCTAAAAAGAGGAAGAATAGTAGATTCATTATAAATCTCAGTTTAACACATTCTCGTGAAGTATTCACGTACATGTCTCCCGTTATCATTGAATAGATCATTGTCACAAATGGTCCTGTAAGTCGTACGGCTCCTGCGAAGAACATCAACAAAAACCAACTGCCCGGTACGGCAAAGACTAAAATTGCCTCTTCTGTGTCGGTATCGCCGATCAACCGGAATGGTATGCATGCCAGTATCATAATGTTGCTGATTAGAAATATCGCTTTGGCAGGTGCATGAGCCTAAGGCGAACCGAAGAAAATTGTTGAACAATCTTCACATCACATTTTGTTTACATTTAAATAATCACCAATTGCTTCAAGAATGCTGATAGTCCCTGATTTTTAATCTCATCGCCTTGTTGAAATACGACGTAGCTCAAAACGCCAGTCAATGTCGCCACCTCGCTAAAGTATCGAATCATGTTTGTAATATTCATTGAATCATCGTCTTCTTCACCATTCGAGTCATCATTATTTGCAGCACCATCAGCGCTGGGAGTGCGATCGGTGCGACTTTCCTCGTATTCTTTGTTTTGTAAATTTTCAGTGGACGGCCGCATATACACCGATATTGACAGGAAGAACAAATGCACAAACAAAATGAGCAATCTTTTCAAAAATTGATTCTGTGAGAGAAAAACGATAAATATTTCGATACGTTGAAACGCAAAAGAAAACATATTTTGACAAAATTACTCTGGCAAATGTTTTCCATTTTTCTTCCAGTAAACGCTGAATAATGCCACCATCCAACATATCTAAATGTTCTTCTTTGGTTCCATTCAAAATGATGAATAGCGCCGAATTCCAATCTGAACGTAAATAAATTGCATCAATAAAGTTTTCAATTTCCTGTTATCATGGAGAACGATAGTTCGATCACACACCCCCTCCCCATGAAAAACTGTACTCCCACATTACTGATTTAATTCTATTCCATTAGGAAAACAAATGGAAATTTACTTTCTTTTTTGCAAAACAAATTCCAATAACTTTTTTTTAGCATTTTATAAATAAAATCACGTTAAATTTTGTATCAGAATAAGAAGTTTTCCATCATTCAAAAATAACAATAATTTCGAATCTTTTTTTCATAGATCAAACCAGAATCCAATGTAAATAGTGATACCAATGCGACACCTACCGGAAAAATGCAAAAGACTCCCTCTACAGTCTACACAACGCAAAACAAAATCTCAATTTGGTTGAAAAATGTGCTTTTTACTTTTCCGCACACATAGTGTAAGGTGAAAAGTATTGTAATCGGTCAAAATTTTGAAAACTTCAGAAACATGTTTTCTGGACGTTTCTGAGGTCAGGGAACCCGAATCAGGCCGTTTTGAGCATGTTAGTCTGTACGTCGTACGTTGTACGTCGTACGTTGTACGGCGTACGCAAAATTTGTTAGCATCAAAATCTCATCAAGCGCTCATCGTAGAAACTTAATTCAAAATCTGACTTTACAGGATGATTGGGGGTCCCGAGGAATAGAAATCATTAGCTTTTGAGCGACTTTGGTTGATGGAAAAAAATGTCATGCCTGGAGTGATACCTATGAAAAAGAGTCCAATTTTCGTCCAAAAGTCATACTTAATGTAGACTTGAACACTCAAAAATATGTATTGGGGGGTTTTTTGTCACGAGAAAACCAAATCTGAGGTTAGTTTTGAGATACAATCAACTTTTGATACAGTTTCCTTGAAAAAATCAAGGAAAAATTGAATTTTTGTATGGGAGCCAAGCCTGTATGCTACCTTAATGACGTGAAACTTTGCACAGTCTAATTTTTACACAAAAAAATAACATTCCGAATGTTTGAAGAGATTTCAATCAAAATTAGGGGTACCTCCCATACAAAATTTTGTATGGGAGGTACTCTTAATTTTGCTTGAAATTTCTCCAAACCCTCCGAATGTTATTTTTTTGTGAAAAAAATAACCTCTGCAAAGTTTCACGCCATTAAGGTAGCATACAGAAATCCAAATTTTTTGTGACTTTAGTTATGAAAAGTGTTTCAAAAATAATTTTTATGGCAAAATTAGCGTCAAACATATTTTTTAGAGTGTTTTGTTAGAAAATAGAATAATTTCAAATGTCGTACAAATGAGTTCATCATGAAAGTGTGAAAAATCTTTTCTCGGCTACTTCTGCTATTAAATTAAAGAATATTTTGTTGCCAAAGTTGAAACATATTTTGGTCTCGAACTTTACGCCGCTTAAGAGGCTTGAAAAATCGAACAAATATTATTTTGAACTGGCTTAATTAAATACGCAACTACCACCGTGCGGAAAAGTTCTCCTATTTTCTCCTAAAGTAAACCCGACAGTTATTCTAGCACACCCTGTACTCGATCTTTTGTTTTTCATTTCAAATTTTGGGTATATTGACATTAATATGTGGCTTTTAAATTCCCCATAAATACTTTTTATCGAGAATTTTTTTGATTAAACAAGAAAAATGTGAAAGGTTATTGGAATTTGTTTTTGAAATGGAAAACAGTACACCAAATAGAAAGTAACTTTTTATTATTTTTATATGAAAGGTTTTATTACAAACAGAAAATTAATTGGAGATGCCAACAAGAAACGTGGAATACTGAAAACGCGCTTCATATTTTTGCTTGTTGACATGGTGATAATGATATATGGCTTTAACATGTCATTGTTTTTCGTGATAAAATACTGGTTTCAAGAAAAGAAAGTAACCTTTAATTTGACATTTTTACTTTGTTTTTCAAATTAATGTTCAAGTTGAAATTTTTAATCAAGAAATTCTCAGTAAAATTATTCTTATGGAATGTTTTAGCCAGCATACCAAAAATAAAAAGCTTGTATCTATGGAATAATGCATAGCGGGATCGATAACTGGGAAGTATAAAAGCATCTAGTCAACGTATGAAAAGTTAAGACGTTCTCTGGCGACATTATTGGTTAATGTGCTACTAACATTTATAATAATCGTTCAAATTAAATAATTTTTCCATCGAAAAAATGAAGTCATTGTGTACGCTGTTTGTGGTACTCTTTCTGACTGAATATTCTGTGAGTTTTATCATCTTGCATATAGATTAGAGAAAAATGTTCAACAATTTTCTTAAACAAAGACATTTTACTAAATATTTTGTAATCTTTTAAGCTCTTTAGCTATATAAGCTTATGTCACTATAAATATTTTTAAATTATTATACTTTGGTCGTTAGGTATTTCAATGTGAAGCAGTTGGTAAGTATCAGTATTGCTAATATCAAATTAGTACTTTTTATCCACTTTAGTTCTTTTTAAAACTGAAAAGTTACAATTGCTAATACAAAATTCAAATGATTGAAGTAATATTGCATTTCGATAGAATTATAAAAAGTGAAACGGAGAAAGATAACATATAAAATAATTACAGGGGAATATGCTGAAATGTACCGGCCACAACTACATTACAGCCCACCCAAGGGATGGTTAAACGATCCAAACGGTTTAATTTATGAAAACGGCTTATTTCATCTCTTCTACCAATGTCATCCGAACGACACAAATGTCATAAGTAAGAACACTCAAAATCAATTTTTATTATAATCAATTTCAATTTTGAATAATATTTTTTTCTTTTCAATTTTGATCTCCATTTGCCAACTATCTTGTGTGCTCAAAAATTGTTTTCTTTTCATTCGTTTTGGGCTTAACACACGTCAAAATGTTAAGAAAAATTGAAATTTGTTATAAAAATGAAGAGTGTTAATTTAAGTTAATTATTCTCGGTTTCACAATAATTATTATGAAAATCAGGGGAACAACATTGGTGCCATGCAATATCTTCTGATTTGGTTCATTGGAAAACACTCCCCACTGCGCTCTATCCTCCAAATAAAGGATTTGCTATGTTCTCTGGTGGCGCAGTCTTCGATCACAATAATATTACTGGGCTGCAAACTAACTCTAATACACCGACACTACTCTTGATGCCTGCTGCAGCTGAATGGTCGTCTCGCGAGCAAAATATATGGTTGGCTTACAGCAATGATGGTCCTGAATACGCTACATTTAAATACTATAAGAATAATCCAATCATTGCTGGTCCACCAAATTCCGAAATAGTAACAGCTTTCAGAGACCCGATATTTTTTCAGCACAAAGATTATTATGTTGCAATAGTAGCTTCATATAATCGCACCAAGTTCTATAATTCGCGTAATTTATTGAACTGGGAGTTTGTGAGTGAATTCGGAGAATTCGATGGATCACATACAGGAAGATGGGAATGTCCGTCACTGTTTCCATTTAATGTCACCATTAATGGGTAAAACAAATCCAATTTTCGTTTGAATGAAAATGTTTATATCTTCTTTTTCAGAAAACAAGTTGAAAAATACGTGATGATAATTACTATAACCGACTATCAAAATCCTGTGCACCAATACTTCATTGGCTCCTACGATGGCAAGAAATTTACAAATGAAAACTCAAGAGACACAATATTATGGCTGGATCATGGACCGGATAGCATGGCTGGCATCACATACAATGCCTTGCCAGATGGCCGTCGTATTTTAATCAGTTGGATGGGCCGATGGGAATTTGCTGGAAATTTGAATTTCAACGCTTGGAACGGACAAATGGGCATTCCTAGAGAATTGAACTTGATAAAAGTTGGTGGTAGAATTCGACTCACATCCCAACCAATTCGTGAAATGGAATCTTTGAGAATCAATCCAGTTCGCAAGCAGAACATTAATATCACGAATGATTACACATATAAAATTGCTGATGCTGAAAAAAAGAATCATTTGGCTGACATTGAAATGACGTTGGATGTGAAACAGCTTAAAACAGGCGACTCATTTGATATTGTGTTTTCGGGGAAAAAAGATCAATTGAAAATTTCTTTCAAAGGAAATGAATTCATTTTGGATCGATCGCGTGCAGGGAAAATCATTCCAAATTTCATAGATACATCATTGGAGAAGGGCAATCTTGATAATCCAAATGACGAGTTGTCGGTACCGAAATTAACTTTCAAAGATCTTTGCAACGCCCCCAGACTGATCAATAGTTCTAATTTGAAATTGAGAATTATTATCGACACTAACGCATTTGAAATGTTTGCCGACGATGGACTGACATGTATGAATGCCCTTTTCTATTCCGAATATGGCATTGCATCCAAAATGACCATTCAAGTTCAATCACCATCGAAAAAGTCTAAAATTCAATTGAAAGAATTGAATGTGTATGAAATGAAAAGTATTTGGCAGAAGGACGCAAGTTCTTCGAGAACTGGTAAAAAGAGAGCTGACCCTTCACCTAAAAATAAGGGGAAAAAGAGCAAATACTAACAGTCAACAACACTTTTACAGTGATAAGATCTCATCATGGCATTTCATTTACTTCATTTGCTAGTTCATTCAATTAATGTCAAAGCCAAAACCGAATACGGTCAGAATTAAATAAATATTCCTGATGTCATTGAACTAGCAATTGAACCAATGACACATTGATGGATTTTAAAAATACACATTCAATGATACAATCATCACGTATAAGTAAACTATCTCTATGCGTAATAAATAACAATTCAGTTCAATTAACCTTGTTTATTTTTTGGTTTTTTTTTTTCATTAAAGAATGTGTGCACCTCCAAAATTTGTGTTTTTATTTCACTTTTTGTCAAGGAAACATCTAACGACAAACTGCTCTGAACGAATTTCAACATTCAATTCTGCACTTTTTTTACATTTCAAATGCTGTAATTTATAAAATGAAGTTTTTATTCTGATTTTGTTCACAGCACACTCACTTGTCCGTCCGTCCGGAAGTAATGTATCAAGAGCATTCAACGGATAACCAGAGCATGTGATATTACTGTACCGCCAAAATTCTTTGGCAGACAGCTCCAACATTTCACGAAACACTTCAGCACGTCCTAATTTACATGCCAATGTAAGCGGAGTTAATCCAGCCGCATTCATGATGCCATTTTTTGCGGGTAATTTTGGATGTCGAAGTGCATAGCCAAACATATCCTATTCGAAATACACAAAAAAAAACAGTTTTAAATGACACACACAAAATGAATTGAAGCTTTGAAAAGACACACCAATTTGTCACATACAACGACCATATGCAAAATCATATTTCCAAATGAATCTTGTAAATCAGGGTCGGCATCATGCTCCAGAAGTAAATTGTAAACACTTTCATTTGCACAGCAGGCCGACCAAGCCAACGGATATTCACCTAAGTACGCAAGACCTTCATAGTCGGTATTCTTCACTGGTCTGCTGCCTTGTTGATCTCGTGGCAAAAAGAAACTTCCTATAAAATGTGCAGACACTTAATAATAATCACACTTAATATTTTGGCATAAATGAAAGACATTACCAATGGCTCGTTGATTTACATCTGCACCGGCTTCAATGAGATCGGCAACCAGAGAATTGTTACTATAAGCAATGGCCAAATGTAACGAACTAGCAATTGAACAAATGACACATTGATGGATTATAAAAATATAAAAATACACATTCAACGTATAAAGAAACTATCTCTATGCGTAATAAATATCAATTCAGTTCAATTAACCTTGCACCCAAATATTCTTCGCCTTCCATAACATCAACGGCAAGTATTGGAAACACACGTAATAGAATCCGTGCCAATTTTGTATGAATTTTAGTATCGCATATAATTAAAACATGCAATAAAGATTCACCCAAACTGCCGCGATACTGCATTTTCCAGCATGCATTATGATCGTACCATTTGGCAAGCGGGTCATGTTGCGATAAACTTGCTTCAATCGGAATAACCACTTCCTTATTGTCCATATATTTCCATCGTAGGTATTCAGCACGATTGATTAATTGACCTTTACCATTGTTATACATAAACGTGCCGAATTGTTCGCGGATCAAACTTTCAACCGCAATTTGACCTCCTTTTTGAAATGCATCAATTAAATCGCCGCCTTTAAAGAAAATTACATTGACACAAGTTTAAATTACAACATTGATTTTAAAAACATTATTCTGCCAACTCAATTCATTCCAAAGTAATCTAACTTACCACGTTTATAATTTGCCAATTTGTACAGCAAACACTTATTGGCAATGGATGATGACTGCGAAATGACTTGGTCAAGAATTTCACCCGGTTTCGCTTCGTGCTTTTTCTTTCGGCACACTTTGAACAGCATTTTTAAATTTTTACAAAATCACACAAGACATGTCTCCATTTTGGTACGATGAAAATGTTCAATTTTTTCGATTTTCTGCTGGATCGATAAATGCCTTGGAAACGTTCCAAATCAAAATGATTTATGCATTTCTCCATTCGCCACCTGTTGATATTTGTTTACATATATGCTAAAAATAAGTCATAACATGATGTCATTGACATCGCAACTGAATAATTAATATATGAACAAATGTCATTTGAATTTAGGTGGATTATTCTCCTTTATTTTAGTCAAAATTTAATCGATGATTTTATCATGTGAAAATCATTTTTCTCAGACAAACTCTTATAACCAAAAAAATAATATTTACAATTCTATATAATTTGTTTTTTTTTTTTGCAAGAATTGATAAAACTGAAAACTTTTTTTTAAACAAATACTTTGAATTTTTTGAAACAGTATGACCAAATGTCAATCACTTGTAAACACTTTGTATTTCGAAAATTGACTTGTACATTGATTCTTTCGACAGAATTTTATAGCTCCTGTTGCGAGCTTAATTTCTTATAAAAACTGAACTAACTGGTAACTTATGGATTGAATCGTAGAAGAAGAAAAAAGATAATTATAGTAAGTTTAAAAAAATATCTAGACATAAAATGTGGTTGGGTCACACACAATTAACCGAAATGTGGTTAATCCCCCTTCAATTACTCTTCTCATTAGCCTAGTATTTTCTTCGAACAAAATAATAATTATCTTTTGTTGTGGATCGCGGGCAAAGCGTACTTTTATTTTGTGCATTCAATGTCACATTCGCCAGATGTTTGGCTTTGTTCCTTCAAAAGAATAAACGTTTGATTCCTTCATACGATACGTTTATAATGCCCCAACTGACAAACGCTCGCGAACAATTTATACCACAACCTTTGTAAACTTGCGTTATTTTTGATCCTCGTTCGGTGTATATCGCTTTAAAAGCATCGCTTAAACTTAGATTCGGCGTACCGACGGTGGCTTGCATTTTTGTTTTAAGCACATTTAATGGGTAAAATAATGAACTAAGAGAGGCACCTGAAATCAATGAAATATGATTAGCTTTCTTTAATATATCAATATTATAATTTAAAACCAACCAATAAATGCTCCGCTTAAAAACTCCTGAACCGACCTGCTGATGTGGTCTTCCTGAAATGGAAAATTAGATCCATGTCGATTTTCAAATTTAAAGAAAGCAAGGTTTGTTATACTCTGAGGAGGATGAACGGTGAGTAGAAGAACGCTGAAGAGGGTTCTCCTCCATAAGTGAGGAAGAAAATGTTTTCCTCCTCTCTTGGACCTTCTCAGCATTCTCCTACTCCTCATTTTTCTCCTCACCATTTCTCCTCAGAGAAACAATTCATGAAAAAAAAGAAAGAAAAACATACTCGTTTCGGTAGTCGTACAGCGGCTTCTTCGCGTATTATGAAAAATAGCACATTTGAAGGACCATTTCGCCATAGAATGGGCGTTATGCCTCGATACAATTCACGATAACCATAATTCATGCACACATAATGAAATGCTTCTGATGTATTTTTAAAGTGAGTATGATAATGCGAATCGGCGAGAAGAGTCTGTATACGTTCAAATGGCATCAGAACTGCTTCAACCGTACCTAGAACGTACATTCATTTGATTTTAATGTGATGGAATGAAAATTAAGATTCAAATGACACCCACTTACCTGCAGTCATTCCGGCCACAAACTTAGCCACATATTCATTAACACCTAATTTAAAAGAAAATAGACGATGAAAATATTGATAAAATGAATATCATTCTTTAACTTACCTAATTTGACTAGCGGTCGTTTGGTTCCATCGTATAATCCGAACATCAGAGACAATGAAACCGTTCGTTGGGCAAGCGGTGGCAAAATACCACGATATAAAAATGCAAAACCTTCATGACGAAGCTCTTGAACTGCGGACTTTATTTCAACCCCATGCAACATCTACATAAAAAAGAATAAAAATTTGCATCAATCATTCGAGGTCATGAAAAAAAGACTACTTCAATTATGGAAAGAGAAAAATATGATCGATAAATAATAGGAGTGTCAAGTAACCATGGGAATTTTCTATTTTCAATTTAAATTCGCATTTTGCATGTGTCACTCGCTCGCTATATTTATCAATGTCACAACATCCTCAGACATGTTCTAAAAAACTATTTCTGAAAAAAAATCATCGTTTTACCTGTCGAAACATGATTTTGTAAACGGGATATGTAACGGAGATGTTGATAAACGAAGCACCCCATCCGCATACCTATGCCATTACAAAGTTTAATTGAATATATGTAAAAAATTTGAAAAAGGAATACAAAATATATAAATAAACATACAAATTCCTGTAAATTGATGTGCCAAAATCCATGATTGAATTCTTTGTTGTTTTGCACCATGTCGCCTTGAAAGTCCTGCGTCAATTAAAAACAAAAACCATCAATTAAAAGACTACAAACAAAAGATAATAATTATCGCGCAGGAAATCACACGAAAATCAAAACATAAATAAAAAATCATTTTGATATTGATGCATGGTCTACGTGACAATCACATACACAACAAATATACACACAACACAATTATATAATTATTCTGTGTGTATAAAAAAAACGACATTTAAAATGCTTGAGAGTTCATTACCTCAAATAGAAAAAAAAATAACTAGAAAGGATTCTTTAAATTGAACATTTGCAAACTATCTTATTAGAATACAATTTTAATTGAAACGAATTGCAATCTACACTCTAAAATATTATTTATTTATATTCAAACAGTCATTGTTGAACATAGAAAAATTGCCAGCACCTGGCGAATATGATAAGAGTTCTCATGCAAAATCTAGTGTCAAACAGCACGTACTGAGACCAAAACACTGTGTGACAAACATATTGGCGACCGGTTCAAATCGGTACAGAACCGCAAACTACTGTCATGAGCGGTCATGAGAACTTCAAATTCATCCAAATAAGTAAATATTGCTCTAGCTCAAATCGAAATGGAAATTTTATATTTTAAATGAAAGAAGAGGGTTTTTCAATCGGGTGCTGATTTCACTTGAATTTGAGTTTTTTTTATTCATCAAAAAGTTACCGCATATTTTTTCAGCCGTCAAAAAAATTAAATAAAAAAACTCACGTCGCAAACATCATTACATCGTGTCATTAATAACTGTCACTATTGCGTTGACACATTTGGATTTGATAAACATTTGCATTCATTTGAGATTATTTCGATTATTCAGTCAGGTGTTTACCAAATTTTGGCGATTTGAAAAAAATGGATTCAAATTTGGCAGCCAAGTGTTTTATATGCAATGTAGAATGTTGTGCTCAGAATAAATATCTGTGTATGAATGTTGCACGTACATTAACGATGGAAATAAAATCAGTACTTGTAAAATGCTTACGTGAAATTGTAGATGTTGATCATGAATATTTCTGTGCAGAATGTATGAAAAAAATCGAAGACTATGACCGTTTGGTGCAACTCAGTTCGCAGATTGAAACCGAATTGTATGGACTATATCGTAAGAAAATGGAAGAGTCGAGCTACCCACTGGATGTGAAAATAATTGAAGATCAGAATGCAATCAACGAAGAGAGATTAGCTCAGACCGTTGAATTGAAAATGGAAAAGTCGTCAGATGACTTAGCATCTCCCGATGCGGCTGATGACATATGTGACAATAGTATGGTTGTGCAATCAGATAAAGATAAACTTAAAGAAGAGCAAAAAGAGCCAACTATTAACGAAACCCATGAATTTAATAGCAGCACAGAATTTGAAAAAGACCAAAAGTCCGATAAAAGTGTCGCCGAAAGGGACAGTACTCACTGCACAACTGCGAAAATGAAAGAAGACAATCAATTACTCGATGATTTGATTGAAGGTGAACTAAAACATATCGATGAAATTCAAAGATTCATATGCGATATTTGTGGTCGATCATATAAGTCGAAGTCAGCAGTTCGTGTTCATCTTGGCATTCACAGTGGACAGAGTTCAGAGAGTAAGCACGATTTTTCTTTGAAATACTTCTTTAATTTATATTAAATATGTCATATTTATAGAATGTCACATTTGTGGAAAAAAATTTAGTCGACGCGGCCACTTGGTTCGACACCTGCCAATGCATACCGGTGAACAGGTAAAATTTCAAATAATAATTTTGAAGATGAAAAAAATATATAATTGTTGAACATTTTTTTCCTACAGCCTTATCAGGTAATGATAATCAGCTTTCTGTCATAATTTGGGACTCAAAATAAATTACAATATATTTTTCTTTTGAATTTTAGTGCGATGTGTGCGGCAAACGATTCACACATTATTCATCATTTCACATGCACCAAATGATTCATACCAATGAACGAAGGAAAAAATGTAATATATGCGGATCTGAATTCCGGTCAACTTCAGACATGACGAGACACATGAGAACACATACCGGAGAAAAGGTAAAATACACAGTGATTAATTCAATTCGGTAAACTTACTAATAGCAACATTTCGATTTTCAGCCATTTTCCTGCCCGATTTGTGGTCAAAAATTTGCTCAGAGGTATTCGAAAAATATTTTCAATTTTTTATCTCTTAATTTACACAATTTTTTCTTCTTTTTTAGATACAATATGAAATCGCATTACAACAGACATAACGATATTCATGAATCGCAGTCCCAAAATCATAAGTGTGTCATTTGCTCCGAAGCATTCCAACGCCGTGCAGAACTAAACAAACATTTACAACAAGCCCATCGCAGATTGTAGACCAGTCGAAAGAAAATGTCTTTATGACAGAAGAAATATTCATTGTGAATTGCTTTCAGCTTACCCACAATTAAAACTATAAACAAACAAATTAAGTGAACTTATTGTTACGTTTATATTCTGGCGCAACTGGCATATGCTAGCGAATAATTTATGACATTTTGAAAATATGTGTTATTTTTTATCCCCGTTCGGTGCTTAAAAAGCATCGTTTACACCTGGATTCGACATACCCACGGTCGCTTGCATTTTAAGCACATTCAATGGATAATGGAAATAACAAAATATGATTGGCTTTTCTGAAGCTGTATTATGATTTAAAACCTAAAAATCTGCTGAAGTGGCTTTCTTGAAATTGAAAATGACCATGTCGAATTTAAAATTTAAAAAACGAAAACATTCGTATTTTGCTGGCAAAATACCACGATATAAAAGTATAAAACATCGACCCCATTTTTTCTAAAAAAGAACAATATTTTAGCCATTTACGTCAATAATTGTAATCTACTCTCTAAAATATTATTTATTCATATTCAACAGTCATTGTTGAACATAAAAAACGGCACCACTAAATGAATATATTCTAATAAGAGTTGCTGCAAACAGCACGTATTGATACCAAAAACACAGTAAACATATAGACTACTATTTGCGGTTCAAATCGGTACAGAACCGTAAACTACTGTCAAGAGAGCATTAAATTCATCGAATTAAGTAAATGTTGTATCTGTCCGCTTGCTTACATCGAAAAGCAAAATTTACATTTCAAATAAAAAAGAAGTTTTTTCCATTGATTTTAAATTTTAATTCATCAAATAGTTGCCGCATCGTTTTTTCAACCGTCAAAAAACGAAATAAAGAAACTCACGTCACATTACATCGTGTCATTAGCAACTGTCACTGTTGCGTTGACACATTTGGATTTCATAAACAATTGCATTAATTTGTCATTATTTCGATTATTCAGCCGAAAACAATCGTTCTCTTTATGTTCATGTCGCAATAATAACAATAATTTAATTCTTGCATTTACCAAATTAAGGCGATTTAATAAAAAAAAAATGGATTCTTTGGTGGCGAAGTGCTTTGTATGCAATGTGGAATGTTGTGCTCAGAATAAATATCTGGGTATGAATTTTGCACGTACATTAACGATAGAAATAAGTTCAGTGCTTGTTAAATGTTTACGTGAAATTGTTGATGTTGATCATGAATATTTCTGTACAGAATGTGTGAAAAAAATCGAAGACTATGATCATTTGGTGCAACTTACTTCGCAAATTGAAACCGAATTATATGGACTGTATCGTAAGAAATTGGAGGAGCCGTGCTACCTATTGGATGCAGAAATAATCGATGATCACAATGCAATCAACGCAGAGATATTAATTCAGAGTGACGAATTGAAAATGGAAAAGTCGTCGGATAATTCTGATGATGTAACTGATGGAACCTATGACGATGGTATGGTTGTGGAATACTTGGACGATTATGAAGTACAGTCCGATGAAGGTGACCTTAATGAAGAGCAAAAAGAGCCAACTATTAACGAAGCCCATGAAAATAATAGCAGCGCAGAATTTGAAAAGGGCGAAAAGTCCAACGAAAGTGTTGCTCAAAAGGTAACACAACGCAAAGCCAAACAAAAAAGAGGAAGTCTTCGCAGCCGAAATGCGAAAATGAAAGAAGACAAACAATTACTCGATAATTTGTTTGAAGGTGATCTAAAGTGTTATATGTGCAAATATGTTGCCGAAAATCGATCCGATTTGGAAGTACATAAAACGCTAAAACATGATGAAATTCAAAAATTGGTGTGCGACATTTGTGGTCGATCATATAAGTCGAAGTCAGCACTTTGTGTTCATCTTGGCATTCACAGTGGACGGAATTCACACGGTAAACACTCTATCTTTTGTGGAAATTCTTTTTTTTATTTATGATATTAAAATGTGTATGTCATATTTTTAGAATGTCACATTTGCGGAAAAACATTTACTCAGCGCGGTGCTTTGGTTCGACACATGCCAATGCATACCGGTGAACAGGTAAAATTCTAAATAATTTTGAACATGAAAGACAAATAATTTATTGGCCATTTTCTTTCGTACAGCCTCATCAGTGCGATGTGTGCGGCAAACGATTCACACATTATTCATCATTTCACATGCACCAAATGATCCATACCAATGAACGAAAGAAAAAATGTAATATCTGCGGCTCTGAATTTCGGTCCAATTCACACATGACAAGGCACATGAGGTCACATACCGGAGAAAAGGTAAAATGCACAGTGATTAATTCAATTCGGTAAACTTACTAATAGCAACATTTCGATTTTTAGCCATTTTCCTGCCCGATTTGTGGTCAAAAATTCGCTCAGAGGTATTCAAAAAATATTTTTCGTGTTTTTTTTTCATTTAATTTACACCAATTCTTTTTACCATTTTTAGATACAATATGAAAACGCATTATAACACACATAACGGTATTCATCGACCCCAGTCACGAAATCATAAGTGTGTCATTTGTGACGAAGCATTTCCACGTCGTGAAAAGCTCAACAGACATTTGCGACAAGCACATCGCATTAGCGATGCCGACATCAAAAACATAGCGGAACATGGCCCAGAAAGCGAAATCACCAAACAGATTATAGACCGGTTGAAAGCAAATGTCTATACGAAAGAGGAAATATTCATTGAATTCGAATCGATCGATGGCAGTGAAATGATTTCAGCTGAACCACAAACATGATTCGTATGTTTTTTTCTGGGAAACAAACAGTTTATGGCTATAGGCGATATTTTTGTTGAATATCATAAGCAAAATTTAGAGATATTGAAATAATATACTTGAATACATTTTTTTACAATTTATTTGTAGTTTTATAATTAAAAAAGAACTAAAATTTCATTCGAATCATATATGTTTGGCGTTTCTGTTTCTTTTTGACTACATAAAACATAGACATAAAATCATGAACCATTACAATGATGTCTCAAAACATGCATCAATAAGAAAACCAATGTTGATGTCAAAAGTCACGCGTGATCTGCCACTTTCGTGCAAGAATGTTGTCATTTTTGCTCCACATCAAAATTATAAACAAATTAAGTATTTTTCCATTTCAACCAAATGTTGCTTGATTTTGATTGCATGTTTCGTAATTTATGAATTAGTCGGAGAAAGTTTGTGACAAAACAAGTTCCATAATAGTTCCATGAAACAATGGATGTGATCAAATGTTTTATTTGTAATATGAATTTTGTGCCGATTGATAATTATCTTGGATTGCATGTTGACGGTGCAATGACGGCGATGCCATTGAAGGAGGTCCTTGAAAAATCCTTACATATTGTAGCTGATGTTGAAAATGAATATTTTTGCATGAAATGTATTCAGAAAATAGAAGAATACGACGAATTGGTCCAACAAATTCGACGCATTGAAACCGATTTGTATGAACTATTCCAAACGAAGTCAGAGGCCTTTGTCTTGAACATGAAGTGTGAATTTGAGGATCCGGATATTATAGAGAATCAGGATGAAACGAATGAAGAATTTATTAAAGACCAAACTGTAAGTGGTGATCAAAGTATTGATGATGATGATGAAGAAGAAAGTAAACATAATATAGTTGAATTCGAAACGACCTTGCTACAATTAGATGATAATAAAAAATCGAAAGTTCGTAAATGCAGGAAAAATGTGAAGAACACATCGAAAGATCCAAAATTAGTCAAAAAGAAGCACTACAAAATCGAACAAGTTTCTTGTGATGTTTGCGGCCGTATCTACCAATCAAAAGGCGCACTTGGCGTTCACTTAGTAAAACACTCCACCAACAATCCACACGGTAATAACCTCTACTTTTTCAAATCTTCTCTTCTTCAATTAACATTTGTTTGTTTATAGAATGTAAAATCTGTCATAAAACTTTTACACAAAGGATTGGCCTTAAAAGGCACATGCCAATTCATACGGGCGAGCAAAATCACCAGGTAAAAGATGAAAAATTTGTCGCATCTTTTTGAAGAAATTTAATTTAAAATATTCGTTTGATTGAAGTGCGACGTGTGTGGAAAACGTTTCACACATGCAGCTTCATTTAACATGCACAAAAAAATTCATATTGATGAAAGACCGAAAAAATGTAACTTATGTGGTGCAGAGTTTCGTTCGTCGTCTCATATTAAGAGGCATATGCGGTCACATACGGGTGAAAAACCATTTTCATGTACTATCTGCGGGCAGAAGTTTACACAAGGGTATGTAAAATTATTCGGACTTATACTACAAATTGTAATTTAACATCACAAAGGCCAAATCTATGATTTTAATTTTCTTCGATTGAAAAAAAACAGAAATTTTGATGCGACCTGTTATTTTTTGTATAATGCCATAATTTGAATTTTTCGTGGATTTTCACTTCAAAAACTATTTTTTTTGGATGACATGAGATTGCAGAGAGACACGTTATTTTTAAATTATAGTTAGCATAGACACTGTAATCCGTCTATTATCTAATGTGTTCCTCTGTAGACTCCGCATCTATAAATTCAGTTTCAAATTATGACAACTATAGTAAATCACAGTCTGAACTAAAATAATCTTTGGCAACAAATATAGTCTGGTATTTTCTAACGTAAAGGAAAACCCGATGATTAACACTTCAAATTACTTTCGTGTCTTAATTTAAATTCTCATTAAAAAATCGTGTATGGACACTCGCCCAAATGTCGGACTATTTGTTTGAATTTTCAACTTCAATTTGATATTTAACACTTTTGCTTTCATCTAAAGATATCATTCTATACACAATTCTATGCAGAATTTAATTGTGCTTCATTTCACACATGTCAAAAGAAAGAAATTTCCAAAAATATATTATTATTTTCCATTTTTCCGTCGTAACATCGAAAATTCCAAATGTCGGATATTCATCGTCCAATTCTCGGCTCCCAAATCTCGACATATTTCATGAATTTTCACTGCAAAACTTGAACAACTTTAAGTTTTGACAGCTCATGAACGCATTCTTTACATTGAGGTAAACAATACAAAATATCGAATTTGAAATTATTAGATTGATATATTTTTGCTGCATATTTAATTTAATTTATTTTTTCATAATAAAATGGCAAAAATATTTAAAAATATTACGTTATTTCACTGATCTATGATATTTTTGGTTTGAATTTCACAATGATTCAAATATCGACTTTAACTGTCACATCTGTCAAATTCAAAGTATTTCACTTGAAACTTGGGTGCTTATGTGTCGGCAATTGGACAATTTATTCCGGAATAATATTACAGTGAAAAATGAAAAATAAATATATTTTTTTTTCTTTATATTTTCAATATTTCTGTTCAATAACTAAATTAAAGTATCTACAATTCGCAGACATATATTTTTTTCCAAATTAGTTATTTTTTCATATAAAAAAATGCATTTTACCGGCTTGTCTCAAAATGACATAGTTTAACTTTTGACGTGAAAAAGTAATAAAAATGCCGAATTTTTTTTGAACGTAATTTGTGAAAGCAATAATAGATTTTTGATTAAAATTTGGATTATAATAAAGAGATTTGATATTGATCTTTCATAATTTACTTTTAAAAATGCAATTAAAATGAATTTTTAATTTTTAATTTCAATTCAACTCTCGGTATTCCGACATTTGGTCGTGTGTCGACATTTGGCAATGTACTGTAATTTTAAATCGAAAAATATTATGATAAAAAAACCAACATTTATTTAAAATGTTACTAACAAAATATTCTGTAATTTTAGGTACAATTTGAAAACCCATTTAAAGACGCATGAAAAGTCACAGTCAAAGTCAACGAGGATGTTCATCTGTGTCGTTTGCTCACAAGTATTCACTCGGCGGGAAAAATTAAACGAACATTTAGCGAATGCTCACCAAATAGTCGACACACCCTCCAACGGTTTTGAGAATTTAGCATAATTTTTTTATAAAAAAAAAAAAAAAACAAAGAATCATTTTAGTAGTACAATGAGCGGATGTGAAGACTTCAAGTCTCTTTGAGCCGACGGTGGCGCATCGAATTTCAAAGGGGACGTCAATGTAATTTTACAACTCGAATCGAAACTAAACAGCGCGCCAATTTTAAAATTTGCTGTCATTTCCTCCCATTGTAGTAGTATTTAAAGGTGATTTTGTATAACAAATTGGGGAAAAGTCATACGAGCAATTTTTCAAAAAATCAAAATATGAGAAAAAATAAAGAGAAATTTTAAGGCATTTTCTTATCAAATATTTAATGTTTTGAGGTAAAGAAGGTTAAGTACACTTTTTAATACAGCAAAAGCAATTTACATGTGTAATACTTTGTACTTTTTGTACATTCATTTGCTACCGTTGGCAATGGATTCGATCTTTTGTTGATCAAAGCGGATAAAATGTCTCCCCGCTGTTTCAGTCACATCGACACCCCCCATCTTATCGTAGAATTTTCTAGCCGGATTCCAGTCTAGCACGTGTAGTTCAAGTCAAAAGCAATTCGAGTCAATTGCATACTTTGCAACTTCGATAAATATTAATTTTTCTACGCCTTGTTTTCGATATGATGGCTTGACATACAAGTCCTCCAAGAATAGTACTTTCCCCACCCACGCTGAATAAGTATTAAAGCATGATGCATATCCAACGATCCATTGCGGTAAACTACACGCATATGAAAATAAAGCATAGCAATACAATAAGTATGTTGATTCTGGAACATTACATTTTTCGAGAAGTCTGAAATTTTTCCCATAATTCAGAAAACAATGATTTTTCTTTCCCAAAATGTAGATATTTTTCAACAGCTACTCCACTAAACAACAAAAAATTTCAATTTATCTCAAGTATGCGCTTAATAGCAAAATATTCCATGCTCGTTCAATAATCTTGTTAATTTTTATTGGCACTGTTCGGCGACGCAAATGATTCAAATTCAGTGTAATAAAGCAATTTGGTTCTTGTTTTCTTTAATTAGTCATTGAATCACATGATGTTATCAGTTACATATAAACAACTATAAGTTATTTTAGTTGCAAATCACTATGAATCAAGAAAATGTATTCTATATTTTAATTTTCAAAATGAGCCTACCCACTGGATGAGTCAAGTTCTTCAGCCACGAAGCAGGAAAATAGTGGATTGCTATTTTTGTCATAGAAACCACCATCCCTGCATAGATCTGTAATCAATCGGTCTTGTGATAAAAGATTCAATTCGTTAAGAATCTAAATCATTACCATTCACGCTAAGCTTCGGTCCATTTGGCATATTTTCAAAGTCGGCCAATTCCTGTTGAAAATGAAATGTCTCAATACATTTGTATCTATCTTACCCTTTAACCTATTGTCCGTATGCAAACACAAAAAATTAATAGACTCTAAAAATAACGAAAAAGGTTCATTTATTCAATTTATGGACGTGCGTTATCACTTTCGTATGCGGTTCGTCCCTACTCATTCCATTTGTAGATCACGCTTATCGTGCTTTCCAGAATTCCTATAGCGTTCGTGCTCGAATTTATATTTACTATTAAAATTACCGAAAGATAACTTATTCGAAACGCTATATTCATGGTGAGAACTATACACATGCGCTCTCTGTCATCGTTATCGATAGATCAATATAATCTCTGACATTTTTCAAGTTTTTTTTTGGTTTTCAATTATTTATGATTTAATAAATTTTCAACGGAATATACCGCAAATCGATACGATAACGAGATACACATGTGTTCAATTGGGCGTTTGTTTGTAAATATTGATATTTGAAGAGACCATTCTCAATTTAACACTTCGATCGAACCCTTTTCAAACGCAATTTCTTCCATACTGTGGACTTGTCGAAAACAGTGACTGAATTCGTCAGGCGAATAACAGAAAAAACGTACGATCAAAACTAAAATGTGAAAAATCTGGTTAATTCAGGTCATTTGAATAACAGCTTAACAACACAAAAAATGGAAGTGTCTATAGATTTTATAAATTATTCGAATTCTTTTGCTAATGAAGCTCTTTCTCATAAAAAACTTTCTTAAAAAAGAGTTTGCCATATTTCTG